TTTTTTTGAGAGAGAGAGAGAGCGCGCGCGCGCGGGGTGGTGGGGCAGAGAGAAAGACACAGAATCTGAAGCAGGCTCCAGGCTCTGAGCTGTCAGCACAGAGCCCAATGCAGGGCTCAGACTCATGAACTGTGAGATCGTGACTGAGCCAAAGTCAGATGCTTAATCGACTGAGCCACCCAGGTGCCCCGTCCCAGTGTTATTTGTGAGTCACAGAATTACAAATTGTAGCTGTGTCCTGGAGGAAAAGGCTGCTATGAGAGGGACAGTGAGGGTAGTGGTGGCACAACTAACATTGGGAAATTGACACTTAGGCCAGTCAAAAAATGACAAAGAGCTAGTCATGGAAAAGGAATGGGGAAGAATTGTTCCAAGTAAAAGGAAATGGTAAGTGCAAAGCTCCTGAGGCAGGGCAGAGAAAATTTCATTCTACTGAAGGAACTTTAGCAAGTTTAATTGTTTTTTTTTCCTCCCCCAGAAAGAGGACTTCAACTACCTCCCTTTGACTCCATCTGTTCTTGATTGATTGATTTGTTGATTAAGTTCTTTCCAGTTTATCTCTTAACTCAGGCAAAAGACCCTGCAGGCAAAGCATCCGGTGAACCAAAACCACCCCCTCAAGCAATAGGGACTGCTCGAAGCCAGCGTGACTGACCCCAGGACAATGATGGACCTGACCTGTACTGCCCACCTGCACGTACCCACCAACCTTTGTCCCACATTTTCCTTATACAATCCTGCAAGTATTTTCAGCGCTTTGGAGACACTAGTCCGCTATCTTCCCGGTGTTGGCCTCACTGAAATAAATTCCTTTCTTGTTCCACCACCACTCGTCTCTCTGCCTTTGGATTTTGTCTGCAGCCATGGTCGGGCCTGGTCTGTCTGGGACCCGCAGAGCCACGTGCTCTTGCACCCCTGTGCCTCAGTTACATGGGGATTGAAAAACATTAAAATGATGTGCGTCATTATTAAGCCACAAAAAGGCTAAAACGATATGTAGAGCTCATAAATGACTATAATTGACATTATTTTTCCACAGTCAAACCAGGTTTTCCATCTGTGTTTCCTCACTTTGATATTTCCTCATTATTTCTAGTCAGGGTTTAGGTCAATCATGTCCCCCTGTCACACACACTCACACGGGTCCTGGAGCCACCCCACATGCCCTACCCCAAGCTCCAGCAACTGTGTTCTCAGGCTCTCTCCCTATCCCTGTCAACTGTGCTGGTCTCTGATTTACCTCTTCTTGTCCTCTGACCCCACAGTCCCTAATGCTAAAGGGATGGAGGCAGCATGTATGTGTGGAACTGGGTACTGTCTTCTTTGAGAATGACCTGGGGGTCACCAGAGTGAGTGAGTGCGTGGGGGAGGATGGGTGGGAGGGTTAGGTTGAAGACTGGAGAAGCAGAGTGAAATGGGCTCTGCATACCCTCAGAGACAGGAAAAAGACAGAGCCAGGGTTTGGTTCCCCCAAATATCTCCCTCCAAATATTCCCAAAGATAGAGCAGTGTGAACACCCAAGACTCTGCGGCCCTTGTCCAAAGTGGCCCACTGGATTTTGCATCTTACTCTCTTGCTCATATAACCTTGGTTATTTAAAACTTTAAAAAATATTTATTTATTATTGAGAGAGAGAGAGAGAGCACACTCGCCCATGCACACACACACGTAGAGGAAGGGCAGAGAGACAGGGACAGAGGACTGGAAGATGGCTCTGCACTGATAGCAGAGAGCTGGATGCAGGGCTTAAACTCATGAACTGTGAGATCATGAACTGAGCCAAAGTCGGACACTTAACCAACTGAGCCACCCAGGCGCCCCAACCATTTTTATGTTTTAATAAAAATGCAACTTTTCTATTCTCTCCCGGGCATGATGTAAAATTGAAGTCCTGACCGTGGTTTCTGTGGCCCTCGTTCACCACCGTGTATCCCAAGATATGAGCATCCTTGTTTGAGATGCAGAAAGCAGCAGCCACTTCTTTCTGCTGGCCCAGGGCAGTGGATATCATAGATGGCAGGTGGACAGTCATGCCAGCCAACTGCTCCCTGGCACTTCTGCATCCATCTGGGAAGCCAGGGCTTAGAGAGTGACTGACTGCCTGCTGTCAGTGCTTTGACTCCATCAGAGTCCTCTCCACCTGCCAGATGCTCCTGCTCTGGCTCTTGAATCAGACCACCCTGGCTCCAGCATTTACCCATGTGAGGTAGGGAGAGTTATTTACCCTCTTGTGCTTCAGTTTCTCTTCCATAAAATGGTAATGCCCATTTCATATAGGGTGGTTTGGGAGACAAAATGAGATAATCCACACAACGTGCTTAGCTTGAGGCTCATTAATTATTAGCTATTTTCATTATGTTATTTTTCAAAAGCCATCCCCAATACTTCCTCCTCCAGGAAGCCCTCCTGAACTACACTAACGACTAAAATATATTCTTCCTTCTCTGATCCCAGAACTAGTAACAGCTCTTTGTCTTGGGGTAGAGATGCCTGGGACTTCACTAACCCTAAATCTAAAGGGGCTGTAAATGCCTTAAAGCCAAAAAGGCAAAGAAGAGAAGACATGGACAGTCCCTCAGGGGTCTGATATGCCACCCATTCTGATGTTTAATGTGTATCTTTCTGTTTGTGTCTTTTCAATCTGTGTTGTCTTGTGTGCATGCATTTATTGGTATTGTGTTAAGGGTCTCATTGGGTTCTTCTACTTTTTCAGCTCAGCACTGGATGTTTGTTTGAATCCCTGTTGCTATGAACACACCTGGTTGTAGAGGTTGCTTTTAGGTAACAGACTTGAGCAATGGAAACTTTAGCAAGGCAAAAGGACCCACAGTGACCACCAAGCTGAATAAAAACAGGCTCATTAAGTGACCCACCTCGAAACAACCCTAAATGACCAATGGGTTACTTGTATACAACCAGGCACAGTTACCAAAAAAGGGGAAAATTCCATATATTCCCATACTCCCTCACTCCACCCTATAACTATACCCTCCCCGCCCATCGCCTTGTTGCAGTCTCTCCTTTGTTGTCCTGCCCCCTGCTCCCTTGCAGTGTATCCAAGAAACTTCTATCTCTTTTGTTCTGCCTTGAGTGAATTCTTTCATGGTCTGTGCCCCCAGCCCCCACCCAATCCGGAGGCCTCACACTGATATCTCTGGTTGTATACTACCACATTTTACCCATGCACTCCCTCAATGCTGACCCTCAAGTCACCTCCAACTCCCAGCAACCACAAAACAACAACACAGCAAAGAACATCCTTTTACATGTCCTTTTCTGAGGCTGTAAGAGAAAGAGCTGCATTTTAGGGCCAAAGTTCGCTGTGTTTAGTTTCCCTCATTACTGCCAGACTGTTTTTCCAGAATGGTTGCCCCAGGGTACTCCCACCAGCAGTCCACCTGACTGTCACAGCTCCTCATTCCCCTACCTACCAACATCTACCTTTCTAATTTTGCCAGTCTAATTGAAAATTATATTTCATTGTCATTTTAACTTGTATTTTTCTGATCATAAATAATCTGACCATCTCTTCATATGCTTACAGGCTTGCTGGGGTGTCTGTTCCTTAAATGCCCGCCTAAGCCCTTGAAGTCTTTTAGCTTCTCCGGGCAGCTGAGCAGGCTCCAGAGTCTTGAGGATGGGGCCTGCCAGAGGCCTTGCACGAATGTCCAGGGCCTGGAGGCTGGGACAATCCCCCCCCTCCCCCCCCATCCACGGGGACCTGCAGAGCCCAGAGTGGCCCCGACCCTCCAGACTTGGATGTGAAAGGCGCGGGGCCATCGGCATGGGATGTCGAGGGAGCTCCAGGAGGCACCTGCAGCCTGGTCGGGGATGGGGACGGGGGTAGGTGATGTGCAGCTGCGCCCACATCATGCTCCAGGGCCAGGAGGGACCGAAGGGTCTGGAGCAGCGGCTTTCGCGCGCACCCTGGCGCTCCTGGGAACCCATGCCCTTCGACCCCAACTCAGCGCCCCCTTCCCTCCGCTCGCGGCGCCGCGCCCAGGCGGACGCGCGGCGGGCGGCGGGCGGTGGGGCAGAGGCGCGCGCCCGGGCTGCGGAGCGGCGGCATGGAGGAGCCCCCGGCGTGGGAGAACGACGGCCGTGAGTCAGCCGCGCCGCGGGACCCGGGGGCGGGCGTGGGCAGAGCCCAGAGGATCCCCGAACCCCCGCGGGGAGCGACCAAGCCTGCGATTGGCGCTGTCCTCGTGGCCACCTCGGTCGTGGGCTTCTTTGTGGCGCCCAGAGGAACGCACACCGGGGTGGGGGGAGCATTGGCTGCGCGTCTGGGACTTGGCGGCGCCAGCGGTCCCGAGAGCAGGGAGCTGCTGCGGTGGAGACATTAGCTAGAAATAAGATGGTTATGCGATCCTTTATTGAGTACTTACTTTGTGTGCCGGGAAGAGCCAGGACAGGCATGTTATTTGATCTTCACAGAGGCCCTATGGGTAAGACATATTGTTATCGCCATTTTGCAGAAGAGAAAGCTGAGGCCCAGGGTGATTAAATAAGTTACCCAAGGTCACACAGCCGTTAAGTGGTAGAAATGCTGAAGGCCCCAGCTCTGCCAGAATGTTGAGATTGGTTGGGGAATGAAGACCATAGCAGATGGGGAAAATGAAACCCACAGGAGGGGAGCTGTGGTGTGCTGCAGGTGGGATGAGGGCACCTGAGAGTCTTGCTCAAGGAGTGTGCTCAGTGCCAGTGTCTCTGGGCCAGACAGCATCCATGTGTGCATCAGCCAGCCTGGGAGGCTTTGGCTGCACACCCTGGGAGGGGGAGAGAGAAAGATTGTGCCAATGTCCTCACACTGGGTTAAGGGGCTCTATCAAGGTGCTGTTTCAAAGGGTGCAGGGTTCTGCCTGGGTCAGAGGATCTCTTGAACCCACCCTCAAAGAATGTACAGCAATGGTGCATTAGTGTGTGGGGGAGGGAATTCTGGGCAGACCATGCATCATGGGGAAGGTCTCCCAGGCCAGGGTACAGTGTATATTTGATGTGGCCAGAAAGAGGATGCATGGGTTGAGGTGGATGGTAAAGAGATTAGGGTTGATTTCACTGGGGTCATGCAGGGTCTGCTTGCTCCCATTCAGACCCTTGGCTGTTTGCTGACACAAGCCACTAAAAGGCCACCTGTAGGCTTCCACTAAGAGAAAGGGAGTCAGAGCTGGAAGGGATCTCTACAGATACCTTTCTTCACCCTTCTGCAGTTTTACAACCAAAGAAACCAAGGCCTCTGAGGGTCACATGGCTAGCCTTAGGAACTGCTAGAAAGTAGCAGACTGGGTACTAGATCCCCAGCTTCTCTAAACTCACATCTAAAGTGCCAGCTTTTTTTCCTGAACTTGGATCATGGTGTTGTTCAGCCAAGAGGTTAAGGAAACAAAAGCTCGGGACCCAGTGCTTTTGGAGGTGTTTGAGATCTGAGAAGGGTTCTTCCAGAAGAGCCCTCTTCTCACCTTTAAGAAAGGCATCCCCTTTGGGGGTGGGAAAGGGTGGAGCTAGCAGTGGAGACCACACTTGGAAGATGGTGTTTTCCCCCCTCCCCTGCAATATTGACCTGAAGCTGCCTCTCCCTCAAAGCCTCTTTCCTTCCATTTACTTGAGCTTGTGGTTTGATTTTCCAGGGGACTAATGAGTCTTAATTGGGACAGCATCTTATGGTTCCAATGCCTGTGAAGAGTTTTAATGATTTGTATGTCCCTCATTCATTCAACAAATGTGTGCCAAGGCCTGAATTTGGGGATTCAGCAATTAACAAATAAGACCTCCCCTGTCATGGGCTTATAATGGGGGAAGCAGACAATAAACCTCATCAATATGTAAGTATAGCATATGTCTGTGGTGAGGGGTGCTATAGAGAAAAATAATGCAGGGGGGCAGGTAGGAAAGGTGCTTTCTTTGGTTGGGATCTCACAGGCTTAGAGAGCCCTGAGTGAAGGAGGCCCTACCACTTCCATGTCTTTGGCCACCAGAATTTATTCTCTGACCCCTTTGCCTTGGAGAAATAATAGTGATGATGATGATGATGGCTCTATTTGCCAGATACCATGCTAGGGGCTTTTCATATCTTATATCTAATCATTACAATAACCCTACAGGGTGGCACACATTCCCCATTTTGCAGATGAGGGAACTGAGGCACAGGATAATTAAGTAACTCAAGTCACATGGCCGGGAAGTGACTCAGAGCTGAACTTAGGGCCATGTGATCGCCCAAGGGCAGCAGCTCCAAGGTCCTTAGGTTGTATCTATGAGGCCCAGGAAAGTACAAGGCCCTCTCCCATATCTGGAAAGCAAATTGATGGCAGGACTGTCACCTCAGTGCTTTCCAGCCTTCTCTGACAAGTCACTGGCCACCTGTCCCTGGATACACCAATGGGCTAGATCTGGACATTCACATTGGACCAAACATGTAGGATGATGTGGGTTTGGGGGCAATCAAACCACAGATTACCTGCCCTGTGATGACTGTGCAAAGGGCCAGCAAATATTTGTACCTTGTGCTAGTGTATCTAAACCTTTCTGGAGGAGGGACAGGTATGTATTAGTCTGAGGATTTTTGTGTCACTGATAGAAGCAGAATCTTATGGGTTCTTCCTTATGCCCAGCTTTGGGCCTGCTGTGAGCTATAGGTGGATCAGCAAGGGTCAGATGTGGCCAGGGCCCCAAGGAGCTTGCAGTCCAGCCAAGGACACCAGACATCCTCACAAGACAAGAGCAGTCAGGATGACAGCAGTGCGGGGGTCTGGTGAGAGGTGCCCTGGACCACATCACCAGGCCTGGGTCCTCCTGGCTTGGCCACCACCCCTCTCAGCAGAGACCACCGCTGCCAATGGCAGGAGACCGGCAGGGGGAGCTCTGAGGCTCCCTCTAGTCGGAGATGATGGTGCAGCATTGAGGCAAGAGGAGCCCTGAGAGAAGGCAAATCAGGGTGGGCCCCACAGCTGGGAGGCAACAGCTGGTTAGGATTGGGGATGAAGAGAGATGAGATGGAGGGACGAGGACAGAGAAGCCGGGTGATATGCCTCTGGCCTTGCCCGTGCCTGATGAAGTAGGTGGCTCAGTAAATCCTGGCTGCCTTCTTCACTGGACAAAGCCATAGGAAGGTAGTCATCAACTCCAGTGGGAATGAATTCCATTCCCTTCCTCAAGAGCTGCTCTTAGGGTCGTGAAAACTGGATGATGGGGCACCTCTGAGGGCCATGACAGGCACACACCTGGCTCCTGTGGATGGTCTTGCCATGTTGTCCCATCTTTAGGGTTTTGCTGAGTCCTGGTTGTGTGGACATGGGTTGAGTTAGTGAAGAAAAGCAGCTTGTCTGGGGACGTCCCCTAAAAGGGGGGAGAGGCATCCCTGCCACCATTTCCACCTGGAAGACCCCCTGTCTGGGACACGTTCAGGGCCTGGGAGGAGCTGTTCACCTCTCCTCTGTATGCAGTGTGGGGTGCTCTCCCCCTCATTCCATATCCCCTTTTCTGCCCCTAGTGCTTCCTCTGGAAAGGCAGCTCCATGAAGCTGCCCGTCGGAACAACATCGGAAGGATGAAGGAACTGATCCAGAGGAAAGTCAACATCAGGGCCAGAAACCACGTTCGTAAAGGGGCTCTTCCAAATCAGGGTGCCTGGATAGGAATAGTGCCTGCATGATGACACCTCCACGCAGGAGGAACAGTTCCTGGAGCCGGAGGCAGGAGCATTTGCATATGTTACTTGGGGGAGGCTCAGATTGTCCACTTTGGCTTAAGGTCTCTGAGGCCTCTCTGAAGTCAGGGATTCCTAGCCAGGCTTGGGCAATTTGAGAACTCACGCGCTCAATCCCCATCCCCCACCTGAAAGGCACACACAAGGAACAAAGGTTAGAGTCAGGAGGGCAGGGGGGTTGAAGGTCAGGAATCAGAGGCTGACAGATAGGCAGATAGGGGCAGAGGACTGGAGGGAGAAAGATGAAATGATGCCTATGGTCAGAAATCCAGGGGTTCAAGACCATGAAAGGCCAGACCGAGACAGGCTGAGCATGTGTGAGGAAGCAATTTAGTTTAGATCTCTGAGTGCCCACTATGGGCCCAGGCAGGTCCTGGGGGGGCTCAAAGACCAGACAGGGAGGCACACCTAGCCCACTGATCAGACCTCAGGGAAGGCTGCCGATGGGGTGATCTATAGCCCCGCTGGGGGAGGAGACAGAGAAAAGCCATTCCTTCTGATGGGGAGCCCTGGGGATAGTCCTGGGTGCCACTCAGGGTAGCTTTTCCCTACCTTGGGGCTTCTGGCTGCCAGGCTTGTCTTGGGGGATGTCAGCCTGGGTGGGAGGTCAGTGGAGGCTGAAAGGGTTGGATGTAGGATTCCTGCATGCAGCAGAGGCTGCTCTGTCTGGGGTGACACGACAAGGGTATGACCTAGGTCTTCAGGGCCTGCCTGCCTGGGGCCCAGTAAGAGTAAAAGGAATTCCCAGGGATGTCTGATGTGCTCATCCACCTGTTTCCTGGTGGTCCTCACTCACCCCCTGAGAGGTGAGGAGGGCCGGAAGGATTAGTCCTATTTATAGATCAAGGCAGGCACAGACAGTCAACAAGTCACCTCAGGTCACACATTTCATTGATAATTGGAGCCTCAGTCTCAGCTCCTGGGCAAACACTTGCAAGGAAGCATGGACTTGTAGGATGATAGGATGCTAATGCCAGATTCATTCATTTACTTGTTTGTTTATTCATTCAATCCGTCAGTATTTCTGAAGGGCTTACTCTGTGCCGACACTGTGCTAGGTGCTGGGGACAGAGCAGAACTTGTGCAGATGGAGTCCCTGCCCTCTTGGAGTCCGGGTGGGGAGAACAGATATTAAACAATGTGTCTCATGAACAGTTCTTTCCCACTGTGATTAAGTTGAGAGCTTGTGGAGGGTCTGAGGGGGCCCCCCTACCTGTAGCAACCAGGGATTTTTGCAGGAGCCTGAGTGAAGACAGGAAGAGGGGATAGTGTGGGCAGAAGCCTTGAGGAAGGAAGACCACACAGAAAATTAGCATTTCCTTTTGTTGTTCCCTTATAAGCTAAAAACTGCAGGTCATGAGCTGGAGGAAGGAGGATTCCCCCAGTCCTGCTCACATGTGCTGAGGCCAAAGACCATGATGAACTTCCAGGGTAGTCTGACAAAGGGGTGGGGGACCAGGCCCCTTCAGCCCATTCTGAAGGAAGAAGGGGATTGACCCAGGTAGTCAGGGGCCCTCAGGGACTAGGACAATAATCCTCCGACTGGTGGCTGTCCAGCAGAGGGAGCAGCAGGAACAAAGACAGGCCGTGGGGGAGTAGTTTGGCATTTCTAAGCCGTGGCAGGCAGGGCCTCACAGGGCCTAGGGTTAGGAGTTTGTCCCAAGAGCAGTGGGAAACTGTGCAGTTTTAGGTGAGAGATGTCATTGTGTTTGACTATGTTCATTTCAGCTGCTGTCATGTGGAGGAGGAGAAAGGGGCCTGAGTGGGGCTGGGGCCCTGCCCTCTTGTCACTAGAGCCAGCAAAGGCCCTTCCACCCTGCAGACCAGCTGAATTGCAGCTAAGGAAGTGGGAGGGGGTGGGGAGGTGGGCCAGGCAGGCAGCTGGTGCCTCACAGCTCTTCTCTCCCTCCTGGCAGGTGGGCAGGGTAGCCCTGCACTGGGCTGCGGGTGCAGGGCATGAGCAAGCTGTGCGGCTGCTCCTGGAGCATGAGGTTGCTGTGGACGATGAGGATGCGGTAGGGGACCCCTCATTCGGGTTAATATTTCCAAATGATCCTGAGATCATATTCTCTGCCTTTCTGCCTCTCCCCTCACCCCTCTTCCCTCAGTCTTCAAGGGCCAGTGACACTGCAATGATCCCAGTTTTCCCCTGTACAGCCATAAGGACCTCTCCATTTTCAAGAGCTTTTTAGTTCTCAGCCTTTCAGTCCCACATGATACCATGTGAACAGGGAGAGATACGGGCTGTAGAACAAATAATTGGGTGGATTGATAAAGGACTTTTTAGTAAAATACTCAGGAGGTAGGTCTCTCATGATATGCCACGGGACTCTGCTCTTTAACACTTTAACCAGAGACTGGAATGAAGACTAACAGTCTTACTAACAAATTGGCAGGTGACACATTGCCGAGAGAGAGCACTAAAGAATAACAGGGTCTAGGTTTGAGGAAAGGGCTGGGTCTGACAATGACATTTGACAGGGATACACTTAAGAATCTAAGCTTAGGGGCACGTGGGTAGCTCAGGGGATTGAATGTCCAACTCCTAATGTATTATTATTATTAATTTTTTTAAATGTTTATTTATTTTTGAGAGAGAGAGAGTGTGAGCAGGGAAGGGCCAGAGAGAGAGGGAGACACAGAATCTGAAGCAGGCTCCAGGCTCTGCGCTGTCAGCACAGAGCTGGATGCAGGGCTTGAACTCAAGAACGGTGAGATCATGACCTGAGTCAAAGTAGATGCTCAACCAACTGAGTCACCCAGGCACTCCTGAGTGCTCAACTCTTGATTTCAGCTCAGGTCATAATCCCAGCACTGTGGGATCAAACCCCATGTCAGGCTCCATGCTGAGTGTGGAGCCTGCTTAAGATTCTCTCTTTCTCTCCCTCTGCCCCTCTCCCCAGTTCACTCTCTCTCTCACTCTAAAATTAAAAAAAAAAAAGGAACACCTGGGTGGCTCAGTCTAAGCTTCTGACTCTTGATTTTGGCTCAGGTCATGATCTCACAGTTTGTAAGTTTGAGCCCAGTGTCGGGCTCCGTGCTGACAGTGTAGAGCCTGCTTGGAATTCTCTCCCTCTCTCTTTGCTCCTCCTCTGCTTGCATTCTCCTTGTCTCTCACAAAATAATTAAATAATGGGGTGCCTGGGTGGCTCAGTCAGTTAAGCATCCAACTTCAGCTCGGGTCATGATCTCACAGTTCATGATTTCGAGCCCCGCGTCGGGCTCTGTGCTGACAGCTCAGAGCCTGGAGCCTGCTTCGGATTCTGTGTCTCCTCTTCTCTCTGCCCCTCCCATGCTCATGCTCTGTCTCTCTCTGTCTCTCAATAATAAATAAACGTTAAAAAATTAAATAAAATAAGTAGATAAATAAATAAATTTTAAGGCATTATAAACTCCCCTGCAGAGATTTACCTTTAACAGAAATACTTTTCTTTGCCCTGGATTCTCTTTGCTCCCAGGCCCCAGCATAAGGGGGAGCTTAATTACAAACTGGGGCTAGGGGGTGCGGCAGCAACATCTTCTTCCCCACTCCTGCCCCATCTCCTCGTTTAGAGCTGTCGCTAAAAGGAGAGTATCAGGGCGCTTGGTGGCTCAGTTGGTTAAGGGTCTGACTTCGGTTCAGGTCACAATCTCACGGTTGGTGGGTTGAAGCCCCGCGTCAGGCTCTGTGCTAACAGCTAGGAGCCTGGAGCCTGCTTCTGATGCTGTGTCTCCCTGTCTCTCTGTCCCCCCACCCCCCCACCCCCCCACTCACATTATATCTCTCTCTGTCTCTCAAAAATAAATAAAAAAAAATCTCTTAAAAGGAGAATATCTAGGATCCTTAGTCTGAGTTTCCCAATAAAATACTGGAATGTCATGCAATAGGCCTTTGCCCCCAAAGACCCCTCCACTGTTACCACTGTGCTCTGTTATTTCTTATTTCTTCCTTGAGGGAATGAGTGAGAAAAGAAGGTATTAGGAAGAATAGTTAAGAGAGAGTGCTTTTATAACTCTTCTCTATTTTCTTTGCAAATAGTAATAAATGTATTTTGAAAATTAAGAAAGGTGATGAATATGCCTACTTTAGTAACAGAAGGGTGAGGGAGACAAGAGAGGGAAATCCTGCTGGTGGGGGGAAGGTCTCTAGGGATATGCCATAGGGCTCTATCCTGGACAGTTCTTGGAACTAGGATGCAGAAGTATCCCTGGGGTTTCCACTGACAGGAGGCTCTGGCTCTCATGACTCTCCTCTCCCAGCCCTGAGCCTTGATCCTTTTCATTCCCAGGTTCCTGTGGGCTTCCCGCCCCCACCCGCCCGGGGCTGGGGATGAGTATACATTCTCTCCCTCAGCCAGCCAGCCCACAATTACTGATATTCTACCCAGTGCTGGGTCTTCCGCATAACCCCATGAGGGCAGAGGTCAGGGAAGGGGCTCTGATGATCTCAGAGTGCTTCACAGATGCTGGGGAAGAGCTCCTGCAAACAGGTGGTGAGCCGCCATCAAAAAAGGGCCCAGACATATTCTCAGTTGTTCCAAAGGGCATGTGGGGTGGAAGGCACCAGGGATTCAGATTTTAGTACAGCGGAAAGAGGGACTTTCCAACAGTGAGTGGTGTTTTTCAGTGCAGTGGATGTCTTTGTAAGGTGGCAAGGCATCTGCTGGCTTAAGCCATCTGCCTGGAGGATGTCCTGTAGGAGATTCAAACAGTTGGTTCTCAAACACCAGTCCAGGGTGAGGTCTTTACCAGTCACAGCAAATCAGAAAATAAGAACAATGTAGTGTGTTTTTCATGAAGCTGTATTTGGAAAGAGCATCTTCTCTAATTAGTTTCTCCCCAACTTTTTGTATTAAAATGTTCCTGCTTTTTTTTTTTAAAGAACTTTTTTAATGTTTATTCATTTTTGAGGGGGGGATGAGGGGCAGACAGAGAGGAGGACAGAGGATCCAAACCAGGTTCTGTGCTGACAGCACAGACAGTGTGGGGCTTGAACTCATGAACTGTGAGATCATGACCCGACCTGAAGTTGGACGCTCACCCGACTGAGCCACCCAGGCATCCCTAAAATGTTCCTTGTTTATTACATGATGGGGAGAATAGATGGTAGCTGTTTTCTTTTTAAATTTTATTTAGCAAAAACAAAAGTTTGCAATAATCAGCCCCTATTTTGGGCTTTACTAAAAAGTCCTATTTCTATATTTTGTCTCAGCCCCTATTTTTAAAAAATGCCATGGTTTTTATATTCCTAAATCTTGGTGCTCCCCAGCCTGGGTGGCACTTATGGTCCCTATGGTTGTATGATTTTCAGTGCAGACATGGGCCCAGGTGGCACAGCCATACCTGCTTACATTCTTCTCACCTCCCTGTGTCCTCTCCCCCAGTTTGGGATGAACTCACTTCTCCTGTCTGCCTGGTTCGGCCACTTACAGATCCTGCAGATCTTGGTCAACTCTGGGGCCAAGATCCACTGCAAGAACAAGGTAAGGCCTCGGATGGCAGACCCCTTGCTCCCGGAGTCTCTGCCGCCTCTGTGCCCTGCCCCTGCAGCATGGGTCTGCCCCCACCTCTGCTCCCTCCTACTCCCCAGGTGACTCTGCTGCCCCAGCTTGCCCCTGCCTTCTGAGAACCCTCTGGAAGTCGCAGCTGAGCTCAGCCCCGTGAAGTTGGGACGCTCAGTATTTCCACTGGGGCTGGGAGAAGTTGCTGGGGTGGTTCTTCCATCAGCATTAAAAGCCTCTTTCTTCTAATGCCCCCGACCCTTTACCACTCTGCCATGTTGGAACAGTCCCTAGCCCTCTGGGCAGCCTCCTTATTCACACAGGAGGAGTCAAAGTAATACCCTCAGAGGGTGGTTAGGAAGATTTAATGAGAGAGGTCGGGGCCTCCTCCCCTCTTCTTTTGGGCCCTGTCTCCCTTGGGTGGAAGGAGGAAAGTTCTGGTTACCAAACGCTGGGACCTTGGGCAAATTACTTTAGCATCCTGAGCCTCAGTTTTCACACTGGGGAAATGGGGATGCTAGTACCCACCTCTGAGCTGAGGGAGAAACTCAGTACTCTGTGTAAAGTACCTGGCTCAGTGCCTGGCACATTAGGGAACCTGGCAGTCTCTCCCAGCTCATTGGTGTGCTCTGTGGTATGAGGGAGGAGGGTCCCCAGCAAGTCAGATCTCTGCTGGGGATCTCTGCACTGGTGTCTCACCTTTTAGGGGGTCATTGGCCCTTATGAAAATGCAAACATTTCTGGACCAAACGCTGTCAGCCAGGGGTTCTCAATCTGGAGATCCTTTAGAACTCAGGGTGGGGAAAAAAGGGACATTTTTATTTTTAGAAACTTCTATTTAAAGGTTTAGTATTAGTTGCAATGATGAGCGAATGCAAGAGTGGAAGTGGCATGGTCTTTTGAAGCCAAGGCTGGGAAGTCACACGATACCACTTCGACTATATTTTATTGCTTGAAGCCCCTTGCAGGGCCTGCCTGGATTCAGGGGATAGAGAATATTGGATTCTCCCCCTTAATGAGAAGAGTACACAATCCCATTGCTTTGGGTGTTTCCAGAGGTGTGAGGAATAGTTGTGTCCATCTTTGCAAGCAGTCCCACCCACTACTTTTCTATTCCTTGTTCGAGGACCTCCCTGGAGGTATTTATCTCACCTGTAGAGGAACCTTGAGCCAGGCCATGACTGCGCCACACTCTGTTTGGCCCTGGAGTTTTCTTTTCCCCCACTGTTTACCTGGCTCTACTTTGCCAGGCACTGGTGATATCTAGAGTTTTACCAAACTATAGGCTGTATTAACATTTCAGCAGTTTTTCTGTTAATGTCCTACAAAGTATTTAATCATCTTGTCTCCTTACTCTCCTCCAATTTTATGACAATTTCTCAGTCTTTCCTTGTTTTTCACGACCTTGACACTTTTGAATAGCACTGGTCAGGTATTGTGCACAATGTCCTTTAATTTGGGTTTGTCTGATGTTTTTCTCATGATTAGAATGGGGTCATGGAATTTGGAGTAGAAAACCACAGAGGTTAAGTGTCCTTCATTGCCTCCTGTCAGGGGATATATGATACTGTCCAGTGACAAAACAAAAATAATTTATTTAAATAAACTCTCTGCCATTGAGCCACCCAGGCACTCCTGAGTGTCCAATGCAAGGCCTTGGTAGTGTGGGACTCGAACTCCCAACCTAAAGATCAACTGAGCCAGCCAGGTGCCCCCAAAAGGCAGCTTTGTAGCAAGTTTAATGTCCTTTATTCGAAAGAAAACAGTCCCTGGGTTGGGGGAGTACAGCCCTTCACAACAGTTGAACACTCTTCTGGAGAGATTTTGGGTAAGAGCGAATTTTATAGAGCCCCCAAAGCAGCAACACAGAAATGGCAGGATTGGCTGCTAGGGGGATTTCTTTGTAAGGCTAGTGGGTCCTGTTTTCTAGGGTCAGGGGAGCTAGTACAGCTGAGTGTATGTTAGATTGTCATTGTTCTACGTTAGGTTTCCTGTAAGTGCAGGCTGAGGTAGATTTAGATTTGTGACCTGGGCCAGGTCACTGGGGCAGCCTTCATTTTGTAAGTCTCAATATAAGAATTAACTTTATCAGTACCAACATGGCCTGTCACTGGTGATGTTACCTTGATCCAGTTCTGATACCAACTCCAATGTGTGTGCTTTTTTCCACACCACCAAGCAATTAAGTCAATTCTCCATGGACACTGACTGGGTTTCCCACAAATTTAACTCAATTCCAATACTATCTGCCTAAAGATAGTGTCAGATTCCACTGGTTAAGGGTTTAGACCTCCAAGACCACCCCCATTTCAGAAGCCAATCCCAAGTCCAGGCTGTTACCTGGGCTTCTGACCAATTAGCTATAAATCAGAGGTTCCTACCACCCCCTCCTTAGTTTGATTAATTTGCTAGAGCAGCTCACAGAACTCAGGAAACTAGTTTACTCACTAGATCATAAATTTATTACAAAGGATATTAAAGGATACAAATCAATAGCCAGATGAAGAGATACATAGGGTGAGGTCCTGAGCAAAGGAATTTCTGTCCTTGTGGATCATGGGACCCGGCACATGGCTGTGTTCTTGAGTTCACCAACCTGGAAGTTCTCCGAACCCGGTCCTTTCCCGTTTTTATGGCGGCTTTGTTTCATAGACAGGATAGATTAAATTCTTGACCATTGGTGATTGACTCAACCTCCAGCCTCTCTCCCCTCCCTGGAGGTCAGGGGGTGGGGCTGAAAGTTCCAACCCTCTGGTCTAATTGGTTCCCCAGGCAACCAGTCCCCCATCCCCCTCCCCCCACCACGTCTTCAGTTACCTTGGGGCTTCCCTTGTCACCAAATTAACGTTAACAGTAGACGTCTTAACCGCCCTGTACACTTAGAAAATTCCAAAGGTTTTAGGACCTATGTGCCAGAAACAGGATCAAGCCCAAATATATATTTCTTATTATAAACCATAATTTCACGCTTGATCACGTGGTTAAGTGGTGTCGCCCAGGTTTCTCCATTGGAGTGTTAGCATTTTTCCCTTCCCAAACTCTATTGTCAGAAATGCTTTGTGGTTTTAATTTACATTTCAATAATGATTAATGATGTTAGATATCTTTTCATATGCTTCTTTGCCACCTTTATATCTTCTTTGTGTCCAAATGACTTTTTAATTGGGTTGTTTAATATCTCATCGATGAGTTTTTAGAGTTCTTTATAAATTTTGGAAGTGTTTCAAGATAAATTACAGACATCACTATACTTCCCTCTAAATACTCCGTATGCATAACATTCACTAGAATTCAATTTCTTTGCTTAAAATGAAATATACAAGTCTTAAGTTTATATTCACTGGGATTTGACAAATTTTACTTCAGCGTAATCCAAATTACTGTCAAGATGTACAACATCATTCTGTTGATTTTTATGATCTATCGATGGTTGCAATCCATTTGAAAAACAGTGCTCTAAACAATCTAGCTATAATGCAATGCCTTGGTAGAAGCTCTGGGCTATAAACAGGATTTGCAAACCTCCCGCACTAAAATATTGCTTCTGGAGCCAAGAGACCATCTTTCTGCCGACCCCTTTTCCCACCCTGGCCACTTCTGTCTGTTAAAGAACAAAATTCAAGTGAGTAAATTTAAAGATCTAATTGGCTTTATTCAATGATTCATGAATTGGGCAGCATCCCATCTAGCAAATAGAAAGGAGCTCCAGGGAGCTGTATAAAATGAAAGACTTTTATAGGCAAAAGGAAGTGGGGCAAAGAAGTTATTCCAGCGAAGACTGGATTGTTTTAGGAAAGATCACCTTCCTTCAGGGGACAGTGGGGGTGGTCTATCAGGTGGTTGTTTGTTTTTTTAAGTTTATTTATTTATTTGGAGAATGGGGGAGTGACAGAGAGAGAGAGGGAGAAAGAGAGAGAGAGAGAGAGGGAAAATCCCAGGCAGGCTCTGCACTGTCAGTGCAGAGCCCAATGCAGGGCTCCAACTCATGAACCATTAGACCCTTAACCAACTAAGCCATTCAGGTGCCCCTGTCAGGTGGATTTCCTCCCTATTGTTGACCAGGAAGATCCAGACTGACTGGCTAAGATGACTTATCTGGGAGAGGCTGAAGCTGCAGTTAGCTTAGGTATTAAAGTCTTGATTTGGTGATGGGTGGGCCTTAGCACAGGTGACTCCATTTTGGGTCTGTTTTCTCCTTTTTAACACCTCCTAGTCCTTGCAGACCCCATCAGCTCTCACTCCTCCCCAGAAGGTTAGGAGGTTATCACCTAGAGACAGACACTGGGTGCTTAGTCACCTTCTTCTTTTGGGGCCGTGTCAAGGTAAGCAGATGCTAGAACCTTATAACAATGTCCTGTGGTGGGTAGTATTCTGAGGACTATTAGTGCCATACAACCTCACCTTACATCCCGAATTATTTTTCAGCGTATAACAAAACTTGCTGTAGAGGATGCTGTCCAACCCCCTCAGCCACCCACTGAGGTAGTCAGGGGTTATTATCATGATTTGACCTATAAGAAAATGGAGGCTTATAGAGGTACAGATAACTTGGTCAAGACCAGACTGCATTGCTGATAAATGCTGGAGCTGGGATTTGAACTCTGGCGTCCCGATTCCTACCAGGCTCTGTGAGGCTGAGTGGGCACTTGTGGTTTTCCCCATTTATATACTGTGTTGTTTCCATGGTAAAGCTGTGTTCTAGGTTGCAAACATTCACCGTTTGGGAGACAGCCAGTGGGTGAGAAGGGTCCTCCTTGGTAGACTGTAGGGACCACCCTGGGCTTGTTTCCAGGACGGCCTGACATTACTACACTGTGCAGCCCAAAAAGGCCACGTGCCAGTGCTCGCATTCATAATGGAAGACCTGGAGGATGTGCCCCTGGACCAAGCTGACAAGGTAAGAGTGGCCTCAAGGCTGTTTGTCCTTCCCGTTGGGCTTGGGGCTCCTGGGGCCACTCCTGCCCATTCCTTAAGTGCATCCTTTGAGCTATGAGGGTAGTGCAGACTGGACCCTCCCTCAGGGAACTGCGGGCCTAGAAGGGGCATTAGGGCACAAATGAGTCAGATAAAGGAGGAACATGATCAGTTCCCTCAGAGAGGTTCTGATAAGGACTAACTAGGTAGCTTAGAGACAGGAGCCACTGCTTTCTGCTTCCTGGAAGAGGTGGCATTTGGTGAATGAACTGGGTGAATGAACTGGGTTTTGTTGGTAAGATTGGAAAGCAGGGAGGTTTTATAAATAGAGAGGAGAGCATTGCTAAAGCTTTAGAGGTAGAAAAGGGCCCTTTGTGTGTGAGTTTGGATGGTTTGTGATTTGGGGAGTGAGAGCCAGGGGGCTTGTTGGGAGCCCCGCATGGAAATCTCCACTGACTTCAAGCCTCAGAAATCTGTCCTTTATTCAGTATGCAGCAGGAAGCCACAGAAGGATTTCAGTGGGGGAGGAACCCCACCCAGTGGGATCTTGTTGGAGAGTTCAGTCTGGGCTTTCCAGGGAAAGCATGTAGGGTAAGGGGAGGGGAGAGCTTCTGGGTCAGGAGAGGCCCTCCGCAAGCCCAGAGTAGTTGGCTAGGTGGGCAGGGTGGGCGTGCCCACTGCAGGGTGCAGAAGGGCCACTTTCTTCCCCTCCCCCGTCAGCTGGGAAGGACAGCGTTTCACAGGGCTGCTGAGCATGGGCAGCTGGACGCTCTGGACTTCCTTGTGGGCTCTGGCTGCGAGCACAGTGTGAAAGACAAGGTACTGTAACTGGGTCCCAGGGGAGGGAGGTGACCAATGTGGCACTGGCAGCTTACCTGTGCTGCCTTCTTCTTCGTCGTCTTCTTCTTCTTCTTCTTTTAAAAGCTTATTTATTTATTTTGAGAGAGAGCGCAAGAGATCACGCATGCGAATGCATGCAAGCTGGGGAGGGGCAGAGAGAGAGGGAGAGAGACAATCCCAAGCAGGCCCCGCACTGTTGACACGGGGCTTGAACCCATGAGCCATGAGATCATGACCTGAGCTGAAATCAAGAGTTGGATGCTTAACTGACTGAGCCACCTAGGCGTCCCTTACCTGCACCTACTTCTGACTCCAGTGTGCTGGAGGGGCAGGCAGCTTAAGGATCAGAGAGTGTCTGATGTTCACCCGGCAGCCATTTCTTGAGCACATGCTATGGGTCCTCCCTGTGCTGCTGGTGAGAAGCACAGATATCCAAGAGTCATAGTTTCTTTTATTTTTTCTTAATTTTTTTATATTTATTTTTGAGAGAGAGAGCGAGCGAGCAGGGGAGGGGCAGAGAGAGAGGGAGACACAGAATCAGAAGCAGGCTCCAGGCTTCACACTGTCAGCACAGAGCCTGACACGGGGCTCGAACCCATGAACCGTGAGATCATGACCTGAGCTGAAGTCAGGCGCTTAACCAACTGAGCCACCCAGGCGTCCCCCTAAGACATAGTTTTTCACTCAAGGAACCTGATGCCACAGCCCTAGTGGAAACCTGTGATCAGATGTGGGGAGCCAGGATGGCACACTTTTGGCTGGTGGTGCTGCCTGGAGTGGTTTTGAGCAGCACTGTGATGCCCCTGAGGATGTCTATTGTTGGGGGTGAGGGGAAGAGTTAGGGGGTGGTGGTGGCCCCACACCTGCTGGTTATTTACTTTCTTTGTGATTTAGTCTTCTACTATGGTTATGGCAAAAATAGAATGAGAGCCGGAGGAGGGAGCAGTTCGTTCAGGGTGGAGAGTTTATTAGCAGGATTTCACCAATCTGAGAAGAGGGGAGGGCTGGGGATTGAAGAGGTAACCCTGCAAATGACTCCTATCAGGGGCCATTGTGAATCATTAGGCAAGTATGTTGCAGCAAATCCTAAACAATGCTTCCAACAAAGGGACAGACTTCATTATTTTTTTATTAAAAAAATTTTTTTTAAGTTTATTTTGAGAGAGAAATAGAGCACAAACGGGGGAGGGGCAGAGAGAGAGGAAGAGAGAGAGAATCCTAAGCAACTTCATGCTGTTAGGCTTAGGAGTGGGACTTGAACACATAAATTGTGAGATCATGACCTGAGCTGAAACCCAGAGTCGAAAGCTTAACTGACTGAGCCACCTAGGCACCCTGGGACCGACTTCATTATTAATCTTCTGATTAATGTGCTTGGCCAGCATAAAGGAGTTCTGTTTATAAGTTAGTGACAGAGAGCTCATAGATAAATTCACCACAGGGTCTTAGAACTGGAAGTGTTCTTCATTAAGGGCCAATTCAACATTCTCATTTTATAGATGTGGAAACTAAGGTCCAGAGAGGGGGATGCTTTAGCCAAGGTCACACAGCAAAGACAGAGGTTCATCTGGGTTTGGAATTAGTAACCTAATGTCCAGCCCTGGGCTGCTGCCTCTCTTCAAGCTGCCTCATGAGGCACTAAGCCCTTGGGGTCTGCACTCAATCCAGCTGTCCACACTCATCCTTTTGGTCCTGAGAATCAGATCAGGCTGATTTCCTTCATTCTGGAAACATGGGCTGAGCAGGTCACGCTCTGGACTAGGCTGTGGGCCAGGAACTGGGAGTACAGAGAGGAGTAAAGGACTGTGCCTGCCAGGACCCATCTACCCAGGAGGCAAAAACATGATTGTACTCAGGGTGCCAGGAAGGCTGGAGCACCAAAACCGGAAACCAAGCAAAGCCCAGCTTTGATGAGCTTACCCAGAATCTTGCAATCAGAAATTCTAGAAAGAAGATTTTAAAATTGCATGCCCCTGTTATGTTTTGTATTTTCAGGTGAAAAGTGTTTTTATTTTGAATTTCTTTGAGGGAGGAGGCATAGTAAGCTTCTCTAGGCTCTGGGCCACTGAATGTCTGACTCCTGCTAGGACCCCACGGCCTGCTAAGGTAGACCTCTGAGAACCCCCCCCCCCCCCCCCCCCCCCCCCCCCCCCCCCCCCCCCCCCACGCAGCAGCAACACAGGGCACACCACAGGCCTTGTGATGATAAGGAAGCTTTGAGAGCCTGAGAGAGTGATTAGTTCCACTGGGAACAAGGAGGAGCTGCTGACAAGGCCTCCCAGAGGTGGACAGGCTGGGCATCCTCACAGGAGGAGAGAAGACGGCAGGCACTGGGCCCAAGGCCATGGCCTCTTTCTGCCTAGCTCCCCTGCCTCTGAGCCCCCCTGCCCTGCTCAGATAGAGAGCTGAGTGCTCTGTTAGGGGGTCTGTGCCACCTGCACCCTCAAAGAGCATGATGTGGATATTTATAACCCAGAAGGAGGACAAAACTCTGCCCCTGTCTCCACAGTCCTGCTACCTGGGGCGTGTGTTGGCCCCCCACGGCTCACCACTTCCTTTGTGTCTCTTTGAACACAGACTTCACAGCGTGGCCACCTTCCCACAGCCTGGTCCTTGCTTGCAGCAGCCAGGCAGCTGTGTGCACATCTGCAGAGAAGGTGAGAAAGGAGTGAACAAAGCTGTCCAGGGGATATTTCATTGTTGTTGAGAGGATGTTTTAAACTTAACTTTTATTTATTAACACAAAATGGTAATGATCATAGAAGAAATTTAAATGTTTCATCTTGCAGCCCAGAAGGTAGTTATAGTTGTTTTATGTATGTGTGGACTTACCTTGAGGGGAGGTATGTCTATATCTGTTTAAAGTACTCCTTTGGCATTGGCATATGTTCACACCCTCATTGGGCCCTTAAGAGTTCCGTGCCTTGGGGCACCGGGATGGCTCTGTTGGTTAAGCGTTGACTTCAGCTTAGGTCATGATCTCATGGTTTGTGAGTTTGAGCCCCCTGTTGGGCTCTGTGCTGATAACCCAGATCCTGGAGCCTACTTCGGATTCTGTGTCCCTCTCTCTCTGCCCCTCTTGGCTCACAATCTGTCACTCTCTCTCTCTCAAAAATAAATACAACTTTAAAAAAGTTTTTTCAAAAAGAGTTCTGTGCCTGATGTGAATATCTTGATTCCTTCCTCAGCAAGGTGCTGAGGTAGACCAGGGCTGAGAAAAGACCTTGAGCTAGAAGCCCCCATGACTGGTAGAGTTAGGTATGTCCCATAGCCCTTGTGGGTATGATGAATGGCTAAAGCTGGATTATCTCTTCTCATGCCTTTGTGGGTTCCCTCAGGGGCCACTGCTCTGGTCTTCCATCTGTGGTTCTTCCTTAGGGACATACTTCTTCTCTGGCTGGTCCCTTCCAGCTCTTCTCCTTCTTGCTTGGGCCCCTTTACCATCCACTTGCCCTCCGCAGAAAGATCCTTTTAAGGACAGCCCCACCAGGGGCACATGGGTGGCTCAGTTGGTTAAGCGTCTGAGTCTGGCTCAGATCATGATCTCACAGTTTGTGGGTTCAAGACCCACGTTGGGCTCTGTGCTGACGTTCTGGAGCCTGCTTCGGATTCTGTGTCTCTCTCTTTCTGTCTCTCTGTCCCTCCCCTATTCCCCCCCTTCACTTGCTCTCTTTCTCTCAAAAATAAATAAATGTTTTTTAAAAAATTTAAAAAAAAGGACAACCCCACCTGACTACCCTTGACAGGAGCCAATTGTGATACAAAGAAGTTGGGGAGCCTTTGCCCCACCCAGTGGCACCACCTCTCTTGGCTCTGTTGCTGTCACCTTTAGACTTCTCAAGTGTGAGACAACTACCAGCCCTGTGGCTCTCAAGTTCCAGGAGACACATGTCAGTCTCTCCATCATAGTATTTACTCATTGAACAACTATTTTATTGAATGTCTGGCACATGCCCCAGGCCCCAAACATTGAAGAACAAAGTAGACAGAAATCCCTGCCCTTGAGGCATTTATGTTCTAGCAGGAAGAGTCAGACAATAAACAATAAGCAAAGTATATAAGCAAATTATAGAGTGTGTTAGGTTATCAGTACTATGGGGGAAGAGGGAAAGAAGAGCAGAGCAGGATCAGGGGATCAGGAGGACACGGGGTGGAAGTTGCGGTTTTAAATAGTGTGGTCAGTGTGGCCACACTATTCGGTGAGAAGCTACCATCTTGAACTAGGCCATGTGGCTGGCTGCCTGGGCACAGCCTGAGCGCAAAGGAGAGCCTTGGCCTTGAGCAGGGGAGGGGATGGATCTAGGAGGGACTGGCTTTAGACAGGAGTGTGGAAAGGTTTTTTTTTTTTCCCCAACTAATGTATCTGCCTTGACATGTAATAGGAAAAACCAGGACTTCGCCCTTGTAAGTGCCCCTGGTTGTAGTTTGAGGCACACTTGTCAGGGGCAGGGAGATACTGGCCCAGTGTTCAGGGCTGCAGTTTGTTATACACTTGCTCTGTGACCTTAGATAAGTCACTTCCCCTCTTTGGAACTCAGCTTCCATATCTATAAAATGAGGGTGGTTCCAGCAGGTCCCTGTGGCCTTCAAGGGTCTATGATTCTACTGGTCCCTCAGGAGCCCTTCTGCCTGCAGGAGGGGAACACAGCCCTTCACCTGGCTGCTAGCCGCGGCCACCTGACTGTGTTGCAGCGACTCGTGGACATCAGGCTGGACCTGGAGGAGCAGAATGTGGTGAGTCACTACCCAGAAGATGCAGAGGTGCGTGATGCTTGCTCACTCCCTGCTTTCAAGGAACCCCAGCCTGTGGTGCAGCCTGATTTTCCCCTGCTAGAGACTTTCTGGAGTAAAAGGGAATAGACAGAGGGCAGGGGGTGAGGCAGCTTGGAGGGTGAGAACATGAGCAGGGGTGTGGGGGCGGGAGTGAATATATCACATGCTCCTCAAGGTGAGAAAATCAGGTATGGGGCTCAGGGAACCACAAATAACCCATTATTGTCCTGAGTAGCATGGTGGTGGAGAGCTTCAATAGCCCTGGAGCCATGGTGCCAGGGGGGCCTTCTCATCTCAGGGTCTGGCCTCAGCCTCCCTGCCATCCTCATACCTCTCCCCTTGTGTTTCAGGAAGGTCTGACTGCCCTACACGCAGCGGTTGAAGGCAGCCACCCTGACTGTGTGCAGCTGCTCCTTGAGGCTGGGAGCAGCGTGAACGCCCTCACCCAGGTAGTCAGGCCTCCCCAGGACTGATGTCTTCCCTTGGCTACTGAGCTCGCCCTGACCCTAATTGTGTGGGAATAGAGGCCCTGAGGGCAGGCCCAGGGTGTGGTCTTGGCTTCTCCACTACTGAGTCAAGGAGAAGCAGAAGAGCAAAAAAGACAGGAGACATATAGAAAATAAACAGAAAAATGGCAAACGTAAATTTAATAATGATATCAGTGTTAAAGTCCCCTGAATGTGAATAATGCTTAAAAGTCACAAAACACTTAATTTGCAAAACTTCCCTAGCAGGTAGCACCCTCTGCCCCAGGGTGTCGGGGTGACACCAAGGCCCACCCAGAGGGGGAAAGCACCTGCCCCAGGGCACCCAACTATGTCCTTCCATCTGCCCGACATTGCTCTTTGGTCAGCAGCCCTTTCTCTGTGCCCAGCACAGTGCTCAGTACTGAGAGGGGGCAAAAGAAGTGAAATGTCAAGGCTATCTCCCCAGCAGTAGCAGCATAGGAGTTGAGAGACTGGGGAGGTGGTGTCCAGCTGGCGGTCATTGGCAGGGCTGGAGCTGCCCACTGCACTGGGCCTCGTGCTCCAGCCTTGGCTTGAGGTTTCTGGCAGAAGGCACATTCTGTTTGGACACTCCCACCCCTTGCAGGCTCTCTGAGAAGGGGGCTGACCCAAAGCGATTACATTTCCCATTGGGAGGTGGACTGGTTCCCATTCACCCTTGTGCACTCAGCTCAGATAGGACTTTCGGAGGATGACCAGCTCGTCCCACTTTGCCCCATATTGGCCTGGTTTTGAAAGTGAAAGTCCTGGGGAACAGTCTGGGCAGTCTGCAACAGTTGGCTACTAGAAGGGTCTGCCCGGAGGAGTGGAGGGGTATTTCACGTGAGCTCATCGTTTGGCCAGGGGTGTGCTCTGATTGAAGAAGAGCACTTAGAAAGCCCATCAAGGTGAAGCCCTTGCACTGGCTCTGCCAGGCTCCTGCCTGGGCACATTGAGACCCACTCCAGCAGGTGTGCACCAGGTGGGGTTTACTCTGTACTCACAAATCTTATTTGTTCCCCTCTTTGATGTACATTCTCAAGTTTGTGAAAGGAGGCACGGAAAAGCTCAGACCACAGTGAGCTCCTCTTACCAGTCACCAGGCCTAGGCAAGACATTGATTTCTCCAGCTTCAGGGTTTAATGGGGTAATAGTCCCGGGGTTGTGAGACATAAATGGAATAATGGATCCCAAAGCCCCACTGTGAGGGGCTTTCAGGACATTGCACTGATGCCTGTTTCCCTCTAGAAAAAGCAAAGCTGCCTCCACTACGCAGCCCTTGGTGGCTCTGAGGATGTGGCCCGGGCCCTCATCCATGCAGGAGGCCACACCAACATAGCTGATCATGTAAGTGTGGGGGCTTGGGTTGAGGGGGGTCCCCACTGCAAAGTCTTCATGACCTCACTGGTGAAGCACAACAGGCAGAGATGAGCACTTTAGGTCCTTGGGGTTGGGATGGGGGCCAGGACTGGGGGACCTGGCCACATGAGGGTGGGCCAGATAAGCTTCTAGCTAGAACAGGGTTAGCAACCAAGTTGCATTTCCTCCCAAGTGAATTATCTGCTTGTGTTCTCCACTCATTTATCCATTGGGACCTAGTGATGATCTTTCATATTACAAATCTAGCCTCTTGGTTGTTCATTTTGTCCTGTTATATTGTGTGGTATACTCACAGGTGACAGTATATCCTGTGGTTAAGACATGGACTTTGTCAGATAACCTGGCTTGGAGGCCTAGCCCTGCCATGCACTGAACGACCTTGGGCAAGTTGCTTTGACCTCCCTGGGCCTTTGTTTCTTTATCTATAGGCACTCTTATTATTCCTATTATGTAAATGAGGAACTATCTGTTGTTTAGATTAGAAAGAGGTCATATCGTAGCTGAAATAAACACTATATTTAAAATTACTGTAAAAGCAGTATAACACAATTCTTTGGAATATAGAGATCCCTAATCCCAGCACCCTAGTAAAGCAATGACTTTTCCTTATTCCCTACCAGTTTTCCTCATGTGTGTGGTAACTAGGCTAAGGCAGAATTCTGGAAAGGGTGATGCTTATTTGTTTTTACCCATAAAGACATCAGAAGTTTGATTCCAGTCCAGTGGAGATTATGCAGCTCAGGTATCAAAGGTTACGAGTTTTTCTAGCAACCATTTTTAATGCCAGATGTAGTTAAGTGACCACATCACACTTAACGGTACCTCAACTGTTTGGTATTTAAGTTGTTTCTACCTTTGCCAGGATAAATGATGATTTTATGAACATTTTTTTTTTTTTTTGAGAGAGAGAGAGGGTGCAAGTGAGTGAGGGTGGAGAGAGAGAGAATCCCATGAGGGGCAGAGAGAGAGATAGAGAGAGAGAAGTGGGGCTCACCCAAAGCGGAGCTTGAGCTCACCCAAAGCAGGACTCAGTATCTTCTAGTTATGATTTGATTTTTTATGTTTAACTCTTTAATTTTCCTAAAATGTATTTTTGTATATGGTGTGATATATTACTCAATAGATTTCCCCTCCAATTTTTTAATACTTCTATGTCAAGTGAATTTATTAAATAATTATAACATTTCTTAGTGCTTTTTCCTTCTTTATCACATATTTGCAGTTTGATATATGATGGGCTTTATATCTGGGCAAGTGATTCTCTTTCGGTAAGTTGTATATCTAATCTTGAGCTGGTACCATATTAATTATTATTGCCTTATAATTTATTTTAAAGGCATATAAAGTTAGTCTCCTTTAATTATCCTTGTCTCTTAGTATAATCTTTTATCCTTTTGTATTCTCAAATGTTTTTTTTCCCCAGCTGAAATTTAAAGTATTTTTTCAATTAAAAAATTCAACTTAAGGATACAAAATCAATGTACAGAAATCTGTTGCATTCCTGTATACTCATAATGAAACAGCAGGGTGAAATTAAGAAAAAAAATCCCATATCACATCAGTAAGAGAAAGTATAGAAACCATATGATCATTTCAATAGACGCAGAAAAGCATTTGACAAAGTACACATCCATTCATGATAAAAACCCTCTGCAAAGTAGGTCTAGCGGGAACATATATCAACATAATAAAAGGCTTTATATGAAAAGCCCACAGCCAATGGTGAAAAACTGAGAGTTTTCCACTAAGGTCAGGAATAAGACAAGGATATCCATTCTCACCACTTTTATTCAACTTAGCACTGGAAGTCCTAGCCCTAGCAATTAGACAACATAAAGAAATAAAAGGCATCCAAATTGGTCAGGAAGAAGTAAAACCTTCATTATTTGCAGATGACGTGATACTACATATAGAAAACCCAAAAGATTCCATCAAAAAAACTACTAGAGTTGATAAATGAATTCAGTAAAGTCACAGGATATAAAATCAATGTACAGAAATCTGTTGCTTTCCTATACACTAATAATGAAACCGCAGAAAGTGAAACTAAGAAAATAATCCCATCTGCAATTGCACTAAAAACAATAAAATATCTAGGAATAAACTTAACCAAAGAGATAAAAGACCTACACTCTGAAAGCTATAAAACGCTGATGAAAGAAATTCCAGACAATGCAAAGAAATGGAAAGATATTCTATGCTCATGGGTTGGAAGAACAAATATTGTTAAGATGTCCATATTACCCAAAGCAATGTACAGATTTCATGGAATCCCTATCAAAATACCAACAGCATTTTTCACAGAACTAGAACAAAAAATCCCCAAAATTGTATGACACCCAAAGACCCTGAATAGCCAAAGGAATCTTAAAAAAGGAAAACAAAACTAGCGGTATCAAGTTGTATTTCAAAGCTGTAGTAATTAAAACAGTATAGTACTGGCATAAAAACAAACACAAAGATCAATAGAATAGAAAGGAAAACCCAGAAATGAACCCACAATGTCATGGTCAATTAGTTTTTGACAAAGGAGCAATGAACATACAATGGGAAAAAGTCTCTTCAACAAATGGTGTGGGGAAAGCTGGACAGCCACATGCAAGAGAATGAAACTGGACCCCTTTCTTTCACCGTACACAAAAATAAGCTCAAAATGGATTAAAGAACTCAATGTGACACCTGGAACCATAAAAATCCTTGAAGAGAGCACAGACAGTAATTTCTCTGACATCAACCATAGCAACTTTTTTCTACTTAGGTGTCCTGACACAAAGGAAACAAAAGCAAAAGTAAACTATTGGGACTACATCAAAATAAAAAGTTTCTACACAGTGAAGGAAACAGTCAACAAAACTAAGAAGGAACCTACAGAATGGGAGAAGATATTTGTAAATGACATATCTGATAAAGGGTTAGTATCCAAAATATATAAAGAACTGATACAACTCAACACCCCCCAAAATAAATAATCCAATTAAAAAGCAGGCAGAAGAAATGAACAGACATTTCTCCAAAGATGACATATGGATGGACAACAGACATATGAAAAGATGTTCAACATCACTCATTGTCAGGGAAATGCAAATCAAAACTACAATGAGAGATCACCTCACACCAATCAGAATGGCTAAAATCAAAAACATAAGAAATAAGTGTTGGCGAGGGTATGGACAAAAAGGAACCCTCATGCCCTGTTGGTGGGAATGCACACTGTGCAGCCACTGTGAAGAACAGCATGGAGGTTCCTCAGAGCCTACTGATGATGACATTTGGTCTGATGAATGGAGGCACCATGATTTATTAACCTCCTCAACTGTGGTAGAGCATCAGGTTTACTTGCTAATGCAGGTAGCACAGTTTTGTGCATATGACCTCTTTGGGGGCAAGATTCTCAGAAATAGGGAATTTGAGGTCAAATATTGTGAGCATCTTTCTAGCTCTTGATATGTAAGCCAAACCCTTCCTAGAAGTGTTGTGCCAATCTGCAGAGTCACTAGCAGTGTCCAGGCTGCTTGTTTCTTAGTCCTCTCACCCGAAGTGTGTATTAGCTTTTTCGTTTTCTCCCAATTAAAAAAGACCCCAGGAGTGCCTGGCTGGCTCAGTCAGAAAGAGCATGGGACCCTTGATCTTGGAGCCATGAGTTCAAGCCCCACGTTGGGTGTAGAGATTACTTTAAAAAATGAACACCTGGGTGCCTCAGTCTGTTACTCAGTGTCTGACTCTTGATTTCATCTTAGGACATCATCTCACAGTTCATAAGTTCAAGCCCCACATTGGGCTCTGCACTGATGGTGCAGAGACTTCTTGGGATTCTCTCTCCCCACCGCTCTCAAAAATAAACAAATAAATAAATAAATAAACTTAAAAAATTAAGATCTTAAAAAAAAAAAAGAACAACACAGGACCTTGTGAGGAAACTGTTGTGTATCTTGACTATGTAGTGGATACATGAACATACACATGTGATAAAATGGTGTAGAACTAAACATACATGTACAAATGACTATAAGTGAAGCTGGGGGATCTGAATAAGATGGTGGATGTTGTCAGAGTCATTATCCTGCTTGGGATATTACTAGGGTTTTGTAAGATATTACCATTGGGGAAAAGTGGGTGAAGGATACACCAGAACTCTCTATATTATTTCTTAATTGCATGTGACGCTATAATTATTTCAAAATAAAAATAGAAAGTTCTGCCCCGTTAAAAAAATTTAAAAGTCTCTGGAAGGACACACATAAAAGCAGAGATTTCAGTTACCGATGGGGTTTAGGAGTAGGGGGTATGAGCAGGTGTGTGAATGCAGGTAGAAGAAAGCTTTTCACTAGATACCTGTGTACTTTTTGGTTCTTTTGGTTTTTATAAATAAAATGTAAAACAACTAAAAGCCATATTTGCTCTCTTTCCACTCCCCTTTCTGACCACATTCCCCCAGATGCGTTTCCAGGACGACCGAGGCTATATCCAGGGTATTTGGTTGTTTTATCTCCATGGCCTTCTGCTTCCTGGAAAGCCCAGACTTGTAGTTCTGGACAGATTTCCAGGCTCACCTGAGTCATGCATTTGAGCCAGTTTCTAGTTTTTGCCCGTTCACTGTCACAGCAGACCTTTTTGGGGCCTGATTTTTATTTCTATTATCCGGCAATGATCTGAGGCCATTGTTGAAGTTGAAATTCTTATGGTAGTTTTTACCTGTGTTCAAATTTTTTTTCTAGACGTATTTCAGAATAATTTTTGGTATTTATTGAAATTTGAGTTTGGGATTACGTTAAGCTTATAAATAATATAAAATAGTCATCTTTGTAATATGTTTTTTTATACATTTTTTTCAATGTTTATTTTTGAGAGACAGAGCGTGAGCAGGGGAGGGGCATAGAGAGAAGGAGAGACAGAAGCCGAGGCAAGCTTTAGGTCTGAGCTGTCAGCACACAGCCTGACGCAGGGCTCGAACTCACAAACCATGAGATCATGACCTGAGCCTAAGTCAGATGTTTAACTGACTGAGCCACCCAGGAGCCTCTCTAATATATTTTCACTAGGAGCATGAAGTCTTGCCATTTCTTTATGTCTTCTTTTATATCCTTCAGTGAAGTTATATAGCTTTTAGTTTGCCTTTGATATGTCCATTTCCAAGTATACTCTACATAAATACTTGATATTTTTTGACTGTTGTGAATATTTTTTTAATTATGTCATTTCTTGTAGCATTCAACATAGGAATGCTCTATGACTTTTAATTTTACTAGAGTTTTTTTTTTTTTTTTAGGGGGTAATAGCTTTTTTAAACCTGTCTAGATATACAATCACATTGCCTACAAATAATTGTATAGTTTAAATATTCTTTTCCAATATCAATAAACCTTTTTTTTTTCATTTGCTGGCCTAAACTAATAGACACTGGTAGTGGACATTTTTGGGGTGTGTATCTATGTGTGTGTGTGTGTGTGTGTGTGTGTGTGTGTGTGTACTCTGTTCTGTAATCTTTTTACACTTAAAATGTGAGCCTGTTTTTCCACCATCAGTGTTTTGGCTTTGTACTCTTCCACTATGTGTGTGTCACTATATCACCTAGAGGGAACGATGCTATTGCAGTATCTCTACTTTGCCATGTGGTCAGGCATCAGAGGGGACGACTGATGAAGGAGTCTTCCAGCCTTGAGTGGGGCCTTGGATGTGTGTTGCCTTGGAGTGAGGTCTCTGTTCTGGTCCTGGCTGGCTCCCTCGTTCCACACATAAACAGTAATCAGGCACCTACCTGAGTATTGAAGGAAGAAACTCCAATAACACAAGGTTCCTGTTAGCTGTTGGGCAAGTCACTTACGTCTTGTGAACCTCAGTGTTCTTGTCTGTAAGTTGAAAATACTAGTAACACCATTCCTATATATACTTCCTAGGTTCGTGTGTGGATTCAATAAGATATTAGAGAACTTTAAGTGTTGTTGCTACAAGGGACCTCAGCAAACATTACTTGCTAGGTGAAGAGGAGCAGAGAAGGGAAATGACTTGCCCACAGTTCCACAGTGAGTTTCTGGCATAGCAAGGTCTCAAACTTGGGTCTTCAAGCTCCCACCCACCTTGAGGATCAGTTTTGGGCTCCAGGGATTCAGCCTTTGGGGTTATAGATTCCTCAAGCCACCCATGTCCTCTGAGGAGCAAGAAGGGACAAACCTAGAAGCACTATATTTATATACCCCTCCCTACGTCGATCCCCCAGCACCAAGCTGTGCTGGACAGTCCTGGAGGGACCGTTCAATTGATTCATGTGTTTTCTCCCCCAGCAGGGAGCCTCTCCTATGCACCTCGCTGTGAGGCACAACTTCCCTGCCTTGGTCCAGCTCCTCATTGACGCAGGCAGTGACCTGGATGCCACTGACAATGTAAGTGGTTGCAGAAACCATCTGGGCACCCTCCCAGGTGGGCAGGGCTTGGCTGTAATCTCCTAGCATGGCCTAGAGTTGAGGAATTAATTTTTTGAGCTTGTAAAAAGCTGTCTAATATTTGTTGAAGAGAACATCATTTTATGAACCACTCTATTTTGAACATTTTGGTGGTTTTCAAGCTGTTGCCATGGTCTATATAACACTGTAGTAGCAAACATCTTCCTGTGTTCAACCATTTCCTTTTATTGATTCTATTTTCCTTTGGGAAAATTCCCAGGACAGGGGTGACTGGGGCAGTCTTGTGTAACAAGAAGCTTCTGAGTCCTGAAGTTGTGCTCAGTCAGGCACCCTTTTAATTCCCCATCCCCACAACTCTCCCCCTGACCATCTAGTAGTCCTCAGTGCCAGCACGTACAGCCACTAGTGGTGGAAAACAGCTTTGCAGGATATATCACGTACCTTCAAAATTGTCAGTATTTGCACTTCAGCGAATTGAGCCTCAAGAAATACATTAAAATCTCATGCACAAAGATATCTATTGCAGCATTGCTTATCAATCTTCAACATCAATCTTGCCCAAATATTTAATAAGAGAGAAGTGGTCAGGTAGATTATGGTTATAGACGTAGACTACTATGGAGCTGTTAAAAACAGTGTTTATAATATGTGGAAATGTTATGTTAGGTAGAAAAATGAATGCAAAATGTATATACGGGATGATCTCATATAAAACCAGTAAACCTAAAGCATTCTGCATTAAAGACTAGAAGAAATATATTAGGATCATTACAGAGGTTGACTTAGCCAGCAAGTGGTATTTTTTCCTTTGTTCTTTCTGCTTTTTGTTTTTACCAAGTTTTCTCTGGTATTAGGCTTATGACTAAACCCAGCTTACCCTCTCCCGTAACTTCTTAGAGAAACTTTTTAAGGCCCAGATAAGAGTGTACTCACCTTGGAACTGTCCTGGCTTTGAGTCTTGGGCCACTCTTACATGCTTTTGTACTCCCCGTCCCTTTGGCTTCTCCAGAGGCAGCAGACGCCCCTCCACCTTGCTGCTGAGCACGCCTGGCAGGACATAGCAGAGATGCTCCTCGTCACTGGGGTTAACTTAAACCTGAGAGATAAGGTACCTCTCCTCCCAACCAGCCTCCCTTTCAAGCTTTCATGGCTCCCTCTTTGCCAGAGACCCTATTACAAATGTCTCGTGCTCTCAGACTATTCAAGGCTTCCCATCCTTTATATACAAGTTCAAAAGCATCCTCCTCCGGGAAGTCTTCCTGCCCCTCCATTACTTTCCCCTTCCTCCTCTGAGGTCCCTCAGGACTTGGCCTGCCCTTCTCCTGGTCTAGAATTGTGATGTGGTCACCTTCTGTTTCATGGCTCCTCAGACTTTGAGCTCCTTGAGTCGCCTGGTGGGGAGGGGGAGAGGGAGTAGAGGAGCAGGGTCCCACAGCCCCCTAAATATAGGACAGGGGTGGGGAAGCTACCTGGCTCTTTGTGCCTCTGGGCTGACTACTTCCTCAGGTGCTGGAGGTTCCAGACCAGCTGAAGATTTGGTCTGAGGCTGAGAATGTCACAGGCTCATGAGTGGAAGGGGCTTGCACCTGTGGCCCAGTATGGTGTGGGGAAGAATTGGGGGCAGAAATGGGCCCTGAGGCTGAATCTGGGAGGGGCTCCCTGCTTTGAGCTGGGCCCCAGGGTAGCTGGCCATATGTAAAGAGGAGCTTCCCAGCTCCCTGCAGGTGCCTGGAGAGATTGAGGCCAGCCCTGTGCCGGAGGTCTGGAGCGAAGGGCCTGGGAGCATGAAGTGGGGAGGGCAAATGGACCTAATGAACCCGGTCCCCTTCCCTGGGCTCTGGTTTCATCTGAGAAGTGGGGCAGGTAACCGCTATTTCAGAGGTAATGTTGAGGAGTTGTGTAGGCTGAGTTTCATAAGCTCTAAGACTTTCTAAATTCTAAAGAAACAAGAGGTGGTTACTGGAATTATTATTCTTGCCTCGTTCAATCCTTCCCCATGCCCAGAAAACTTTTCTGCTCTCCGGTGTAGACTGCTGGAAACTGCTTTCCTTGGGCAGGAATGTTTGCCGTCAGTACTAGAGGCTACCCTACGCCCCACCTGTAGCAACTTTGGCTTCCATTCTTACTTCTTACTTGCAGCAAGGGAAAACTGCCCTGGCAGTGGCCGCCCGCAGCAACCACATCAGCCTGGTGGACATGATTATAAAAGCTGATCGCCTCTACAAATGGGAGAAGGTACTGAGGCCCTGCACTTGGTCTCTCCATGTTGCAAAGGGACTGTGTGGGCTTGGCTCTAGGTGGGGCTGGCTTTGAACCCCAGCCCTGACCAATTCAGGACCACCCTCAGTTTCTGAGGAGGTGATAATCCCTGCCTTACCTAACACCAGGGTTGTTTGTGAGCATCTGGAGATGAGTGAGCACCTAAACCACACTGAAACAAAGCAGACTGAGGTCCATGCCAGTGTGGAGATGTTACTGGACTCTGTTACAGCCCCTGGTTGATGGATTCATGTGTGCATGCTGGCATGCATGAATAAAGAGATGTCAAGTTGGTTTTAGCTCACTGCCATCTTCAGGTGATTGGAATTGCTGTTCGGGGTGTTCTATTCAGGCAACTTTCTGAGCCCAGAAGGAAAGTGTGCTGGGATTAATTAGTGATGTCTGCTGAAGAATTGGGGAAGAGTAGCAGGTGTTAAGGCCATGCTTTTCCAGTCCTCAGGAAATGGGGGTGGGATGGGTTTTTTTTTTTTGACATCTTTGAAGGTTGTTTTTGTATACAGAAAACAATTTTTGCATTTACTTGAGTTTTAAAAATTAATACCAAATTTATTATGAATTTTAAAACCTAGTTTTCCTTAAACTTTTAATCAGTTTATAAATCTTTTTTTTTTTTTTTTAATGTGTATTTATTTTTGAGAGAGATGGAGACAGAATGAGAGTGGGGAAGGGGCAGAGAGAGGGAGACACAGAATCTGAAGCAGGCTGTCAGCACAGAGCCCGACGCGGGGCTCGAACTCACGGACTGTGAGATCATGACCTGAGCCGCAGTCGGACGCTCAACAGACTGAGCCCCCCAGGCGCCCCTCATGTTATAAATCTTATTCCATTTATACAGCTACTATATTTTAGGAATTTTAGGAATTTCCACTTTCAAGGAAGCCTTTTGATTAATGTTTGGATCCATGTTTAAACTTAGTTAATTAAACTATCTTAAACATTCTAAACTGAGTGAATAATAGATTTTTAAAAGTACTTTGAATGCTTCCTAAATTCTTAAGTTATCTTAGTATATCCAGTAAATTAAACCTATAAATAAAGTAAGTCTCAGATATCTTAAACATTTCAATATTGTTTGCAAACTGAGTAAACTTCTCTTATACCTCTCAAATTAAAAAAAAAAAATCACTATTCCAAAATTAGTTAATAACACATTTCAATAGCAATCATAAGATATTCTCTTTCATGGACATGCTAGATTCTCAAAAACATAGCCCCTTTATGTCCAACAGGTTACTCCTCAATGTAACCCCAAAATATTAATACCAAGGGCGTGATTAACTGATTCATCTCTGTGCGTAATTCTAACACCTCAGACTTCAAAAGTTCTCAACGTCAAGGTGGCGGGGTGGTTAGAATCACAGCCTGCCCCCCACTCCCACCCTAAGGCCAGTTCATTCAGAATCTCTGGTGTGGGAACCAAGCATCAGTAGTTCTTAAAGCTCCTAGATGATCCCAATGTACAGATGCGGCTAAGAACACTGCTCTGAGGAACCAGTCTCCCTGGTCACCATGTCATAGGTGACTGAACATTGTTGACCAGGATGTAAGATTTGCAGCTGCAGACACCAGAACTCACCTGAGCTTTTTAACAACCAGAACTCTGTATCCACATCCTTTAGAGGGGCTTACTTAGGCTTTTGTGGGTTTAACCGATGCTATCACATAGTTCTTTTATAACTTCTCATTTTATCACCTGCTTTGCATAGAAAGAATTCTGTAACCCCGCCCTTCACTACTTGTTGAGATTCTGCAAATCTGCTTAAGTACCTGATCCTTGGCTTGACTGGTGTTAGCCACAGCTGCTGAGTCCTTCTGCTGGCACTTGTGCTGTGAGAACACAGAGAAAAGAGAGGAATTGGGAAGGCTTCCTGGAAGAGATGGCATGTAGATGGTCTCTTGACTGTGGTGATGGGGTTGAGGGACAGGGAGGTGAGAAAAGGAGTTCTGGATGGAGGAACAATGTGAGCAGCTGGGGTTCTAGAGGTTAAAGCAAGGCACAGAGTGAGAAACCAGAAACCCCAGGCCTGTGATGATGCCAGTACCCCATCCAGGCTCCCGAGGGAGAGCCTGGCAGGGATGTCCCCCCGGGTGGCAGCTGCACTTTTGGGATCTGCCCCACAGGATCACGTGTTGTGCAGGGACCCCAGGGATCCCTCTGGGAAGAACTTGACCTTTAAGCAGGACCATCGGCAGGAAACGCAGCAATTCCACTCTGTGCTGTGGCAACTGGCTTCCAGGCATCTGCGGCCTCAAGAGTGGAAGAAGCTTGCGTATTGCTGGGAATTCACCGAGGCCCACGTCCATGCCATCGAGCAGCAGTGGACAGGTACCACCCGGCCTATCCCCACCCCAGAGCAACCAGTGGGTGGAAGGGGGGCACTTGTGTGTTCAGTTTTATGCATTTCTGGGGGAAAAGCCAGTGCAACCTGGCAAAGTTGGATGGCAAGCCACATGTCATCGCCAACATCCCGTGTGCTCCTCTATCCTTCCAGGCCTTTGCTCAGGCTGAGCCCTCTGCCTCTCCCTCTCCCTTGACCTGTGAACCTCACATTCTTTGTGAATGAGCTCGTCATTCACACAAACTAAAGGCACTCTCCATAAAAAGTAGAGGACCAGCTCTTGCCACCAGTATTTAACTTCTACTTGGAAATGTTGGCTCTGGTACTAAGGGAGAAAACAGAAACAGAAATAAAGACTGAAAATATTGGAAAGGAAGAGAGATTTACTAACTTCAGGTGCTATAATCCTATACATGAGCAGTCCAGAAGAATCAGCTGAAAAACTTAGCATAAAATAATTCAGTGAAATGGCTAAAGATATGATAAAGTATACAAACACCATAGTATTCCTATGTACTATCAGTAAGTGGGGAAAAATATATAGGTATTTTTGAAAAGATATTCCATTTACAATAGTGTTTCTAAAAAGAAGTATGAATGGCATATGAGTAAAACAGTAAAAATTAGTTCAACTATTAAAAAAAGACTTGGGTAAGTGGAATGACATTCTGTGTTCTTGGCTAGAAAGTGTCAGGTAGACATTGGTTTTTCCCAAACTAGATTAAAAATTTGAATCAGTTTAAAAAGTTTTTTTTTAATGTTTATATATTTTATTTCATTTTTAAAACTTTTAAATTAAGTTTATTTATTTATTTTGAAAGAGAGAGCAAGCAGGGTAGGGGCAGAGAGAGGAGAGAGAAAATCCCAAGCAGGCTCTGCACTGTCAGCACAGAGCCCAATGCGGGCTCAAACTCATGAAACTATGAGATCATGACCTTAGCCAAAATCAAGAGATGCTTAATCGACTGAGCCACCACCCAGGTGTCCCCAAAATTGATTGTTTTAATCAAATCAAATCAAAATAGAAAGTTTTTGAAACTTGACTAAAGGATTCTAGAGTTCACTTGAGAGAATAAAGAGGGAATATTTAAATGAATATTCTGGGGGGAAAGTGAAGAAGGTCTAATCCAACCAGACCCAACCTTTTATAAAGCTCCAATAAAGCATAGACAGATACCCGACATATGTTTTCCCAAACATAAAAATATGCACACCAGTTAGTGAAATAGAGCAGGGAGTCCAAAAGTAGCATCTATGATGGATAAGAACTTTCACAGATGATAAAGGAGTACAGGTAAATTATGGGGCTGGGGCGAGGAATAGTGAATAAATGGGTCAAATGAAACAGCTACACCAAGGGCAGCACCATGAGGAAGTGCCTGCTGAATGTGCCAGTGAATGGACTGATTCGGCCCTGATGGCTGTGCCCAAACATGTGTGTCCCCGACTGGGAGAGCAGACCTTGTCACAGAGTTTAGTAACAAGTTAACGCCCTCCTCCGGCACTGAAGAGTGTGGGCAATTATTTTCAAACATGGCTGTACATTGGAATTACCTGGGAAGATGTAACACTGCTTAGCGCCCAGGCTGCACCCAGACCCAAGTAGGTTGGAATCTCTGGGGAGGGTAATGGAACCCAGGTGTCACTGTTTTCTAAGACTTCCCAAGGGTTTCCAATGAGCAGTTACAGCTAAGAATCACTGGTGCAGGGGCGAGAACATGGCCACCTGTGTCTCCCACTATGCTGGTTTTCTCATCTGTAAAATAGGGCCGCTAGCGTGCAAGGCACAGATGAGCAGCCAGAGATGAAGGGAACAGTCGTGTGCATCATGGAATCACAACAACAAGTGCCAAATCTTTCTCTCTTCAGAGCAACACCAACAGGATGCATGGTGGATGCTCAGGAGAAAGCCTGGGGTTGGGGATGTTCTAGGATACAAAACCTCCACCCTCACCCCATCTGAGGCTGTCTCTTCCCTCCTCTCCCCATCTCTGGGCTGAGCTCCACCGGAGCTTGGAAAAGGGCCTCTTGGCTCTTTCCCACCTGGACATGTGTACTACAGACATCTGCTCAGACTTGGCTCCTTCTCTTTCTCTCCTCATGGTCCTCAGGCGTCAAGAGCTACCAGGAGCATGGCCACCGGATGCTGCTTATCTGGCTGCATGGTGTGGCCATAGCCGGTGAGAATCCCAACAAAGCACTGTTCGAGGGCCTCGTGGCCATTGGCAGGAGGGACCTGGCTGGTAAGAGTGTCCTCTGCTCAGGGCAATACTGGGCCCCAGAGTCAGAGCCGCATGGCCCACCTTGGAGTGTGACAGGGTCCCTAAAGTTCTGCCCAGGCCATAATGCTGTGGGGCAGCACCTTCCAGATTGCTGGTCCTAGCCTTGTCTACTGGAATTCAGGCAGAGCCCTGAGCAAACCACAGTACCTCCTGGCCCCCATTTCCCCATCTGTGCCATGAGGGTTTGGGCTCAGATGATGCCTGCAACTTTCACAGCCCCAAAGCCACTGGTGTTATCATCTCTGGCCCTCTGTACTTTGATTTTTGTTTTTGTTTCTAGTTTAAAATAAGGCTGGAACAGCCTATAGACTTCTTTTTTCACAAGCAGTAATATATATAGGCCAGAAGTAGCTTAATATGAGTTGAACCAGTCAGAGCTGGTCAAATAAATAAAATATCTGAGGCCATCACGACCTTTTGAGTCTGTCAATTCCAAAAGCCTGGTTTGAGATTCAGGGCACCCTGTGGAATCATCAGGCAAGCGAGATAAAAGGTTCAGTACTAATCCCTCATTAAAAACAAAATCAGCTCATGATGAAAGAACCTTAAATACTGTAATACACGTCCCTGGCATGGTGCATTACGGGGCTACCACAGGACAGGGTGTTAGGCGGTCACCAATAATAACGAAGGCTAGGTTAGTCACGCACCAACAGTAAAAACATGGGTAGCATGTTATTGAGAGGAAAAAGGAAAGCCCCCCTTTGCAGTATCTCACAGCTGCTGCAGGCAAAGTGGGAAACAGTCACTTCAGAGTGGAGGAATTAGGGATGACTTTTTCTTTTTCAAAACGTTCTTAAATATTATTGCTCTATCTTTTTTTTTTTTTAACACAAACTCTCGCAGGCAATTAAAACATTTTTAAAACCAGCTCTGTGAGGCAGAGCTTAGGCAACATGAAGCAATAGGATTCTTCTGTCTTGCAGAAAGCATCAGGAAGAAAGCAAATGCTGACCCGGGTACCCCCAGGAGGTGTACAGCCATGTAACTGGAGAGGCCAGACCTTCAGGGGCATGGAGACTCAGAATGGGGGCCCCTGAACAGAAGAGGACCACCATTTAAGGGCTTTTAAAAAATCACTGTTAACAGACCTCCAGCTGCTTGTACTGAAACACCCAGCCCTGCAGGACCAGCAGGCACTGTTTGTAATCTCTTTCACAGGGGTTAGTCCAGGGGCCAGTTCAGGTTTTGCAGGTAATCCCTTCCCACAGGTGCAGTCCTTTGCAGCTCTTGGAGCATCACAGCAGTCCCCTGAGATGCAAGGGCCATCTTTTCAGAAAGGACACTGAGGCTCAGAATGGATAAGCAGCTAATCGGCTGTTGAGGTCAGGTGCCAAACCCAGCATTCCTGTCTCCCCAACCTGGCAAAAGGACTCCAATTGTCACTTACAAAACGGACCTCCTTTAACTCATTCACTGGCTTTTAATGAATGCTGTGCTTACAAAACAGTGTTTCTGTTCACAAGCTTATTTATATGCTTTGACAGTTCTAAGAGGTACACACATTCTTTTTTTCCCATTTTGTTTAGAAATTTAATTTTAAAAATTTAGTTTTATTATTTTTTTGAGAGAGAGAGAGAGAGAGAGAGAGAGAGCGCGCGCATGCATAGGAGACAGGGAGAGAGAGAATCCCAAGCAGGTTCCATGCTCGGTGCACAGCCCCACGTGGGGCTCAGTCTTACAACTGAGATCATGATCTGAGCTGAAATCAAGAGTTGGATGCTTAACCGACTAAGCCACCCAGGCACCCCTAGAATTATTTTTAACTTTAAAATTTTATTTTGAAATCATTTCAGACTTACAAAAACATTGCAGAAACAGTATGAAGAATTTCTGAATATGCTTCACAATACAGCTTCCCCAAATATTACCATCTTACATAATCACAGTATAATTTTCAAAACCAGGAAATTAACACTGATACCATACTATTAACTCATCTTCAGACCTTATTCCAATTTTGTTAGTTGAACCGTTCATGTCCTTTTTCTGGACCAGGATCCAGTCCAGAATCACACCTTGCATTTAGTTGTCATTCTTTTTTTTTTTTTTTTAAGTTTATTTATTTTAAAAGACAGAGAGACTGCGTGTGCACAGGGGGGGAGGGGCAGAGAGAGAGGGAGAGACAGAATTCCAAGCAGTCTCCACACCCTCAGCGCAGAGCCTGATGCAGGGCTTGAACTCCTAAATTCAAGACCTGAGCCAAGATCAAGAGCTGGATGCTTAATCAACTGAGCTACCCAGGTGCCCCAGGGACCCCTGTCTTAGAAAAACTCCCCACAGAGTTATCCACTGGGTCTGAGTCTCAGGAGGGAGAGACAGAATAAAAACTGTTAAGAGCTGAAAGGGGCTTCAACCGTCACACATGGCCAGTGGGAGGTCACAGTCGAACAATCCTCTGAAAGGCAGGCGGCATTATATCTACCAAAATTACAAATGCATTTGCCCTTTGACCCAGCAATCCCACGTGGAGGAATTTATCCTACAGATAAACCTGCAAACATTAGATACCAAGACCAATGCAAGTTAATATGGCAGAAATTGCTGGGCAGAGGGGTGTATGGGAACTCTGTGCTATCTGCTCAGATTTTTATTTTTACTGTTAACATTTTTGAGAGACAGAGCGTGAGTGGGGGAGGGGCAGAGAGAGAAGACACAGAATCCAAAGCAGGCTTTAAGGTCTGAGCTGTCAGCACAGGGCCCAACGCGAGGCTCAAACCCACAAACCATGAGATCATGACCTGAGCTGAAGTTGGACACTTAAGTGACTGAGCCACCCAGGCATCCCTGCTCAGGTTTTATTTTTAACTGTTTTTAAAAATAAAGCCTATTAACAATTTTTAAAAAATACCTGAGGCGTATGAAAAGAAAGAAAAAGAGCCTTTGAAACCAACCTATTTTACACACAATCACCTATAGGACTGAGGCTGCACAGTCACAGCATGATTTGGATCCCCAGTGCAGCATGTGGCCTCTATGCCCTTCCTCTTCAAGTGCTGTGTTGAGGGGGAGAAACCTTCTCTTCTATATATTCCATTTAGGAAATGTATTTTGTACCACATGGGATTTAGACTATTTATCTGGATGAATTTTGTGAAATGGATTTTGTGTTTTGAGACAAAAAAGCAAGTTCTTAAAGAAAATAAAATTGAAATGTTGAAATACATCTTTCACATTCAATGTGGTTTTTTTGTTTGGGAGAAGTATGGCAAAATTTCAACTCAGACAAGCTGTTGTGGATTGGTTCTCTGTAACCACACCACTCAACTCACTACCACCAGTCAATATTTACTGAGTGTGTTCCATGCCGGGCAGTCTGCTGGGAGCTGGGCTGCAGAGCTGAGTAGCCACGGTTCCTGCCCTCTGAGACCTTGTGATGGGGTGAGGGGGGGCTGGGACAACAATAATGTACTATCATGTGTTGGGTGTATACAGAAAACTGTGGGATTTGTTCTTCCTCGGGGAAGGGAAAGGGGAAGGGAAAGGAGAGGAAGGTCTGAGAAGCTCACAGAGAAGGCAGAAATGGCGGGAAGCACATTCCAAGCAAAAAAACCAGTCTGCGTGATGGCGAGGAGGTGTGATGTATCTGTTTGGGGGATGGTGTGGCTGGAACACAGGAAGCATGGGAAGAGGAGGAGAGAGGAGCTGGAGAGGCAGGAGGGCCTGGCTATTTCAGCCCCTCGGGAGACTATTCCAATGGGCACTCTTAGCTCAAGAGCCCTCTATGTGGTCAGCCGGTGCTTGGGGACACCTGTGTCACAGCTCAGCTTCTCCCCTGCCCAATCCACTTCCCTTCACAACCTCTTCTCTTTGACCCTAAATAACCATCTTGCTCCCAAAGTTTCATCTTAGTATCTGCTTCACCTTGAGACTTGGGGATGGGGTGGGATCCAAGATGGCTGTTTCTAGCTGGGGCATCTGGGGAACAGTGATGCTGGGAGTTGGGGCGGTGGGTTAAGGAGAGAAGGGTTAGATTTGGGCAGTGGGGTCATGGGTGTGGCTTTTGACAGGTGGAGTCTGGTGTGCCTGTAGAAGGCTGGCCTGATGTACAGGCATTCAAGGCCAGCTCAGAATCCATTGGGGCTGGAAATGACAATCCTCAGGGCACAGAACCAGGGAGTAGTTAAAGCTGTTAGGGAAAATTGGCTCCCACGGGGAGAATGTGAAAAGAAAGCAGAGGGCAGTCTCACAGTTCATTGCTGTACCAGGAGAGGAAGGGGCTACTGGCCATGTGTGGCCTGGCTCTGCCCATAGGAGTTCCTGTTGGTGGGGAAGGAGTCTCAGATGCTAGTAGTTAAAAACATTAAGCTCCTACCTTCATGGCTTCCCAAGTGCTTCCCATAACTCACGACTGTTCTCGAGTCACAAGACAGTCAGAGCAGACACTGGCCTACGTGGAAAGATCCTTGGTTTTGTGATGGTCAGATCCAAGTTAACATCCCAGCTCTGCCCTTTCCTGTGTGATGATGAGCAAGTCTCTTGGCTCCTCCCAGTCTCCATGACCTCACCTGTAAAAATCAGTTTAATCAGGGTTGTGGTGGGGATTAAGTCAGAAATAGGATGGCTAACTCAATATTCTTAAAACTTAAAGGGAAAGAAGCATTCATGATGATTTTTCTGTCTCACTTGTACCTCAGAGAAACCAAATAATTGATGAGGGGAAGATTTTTGTTTTTAAATCAGAGAATTCTGTTAATAAATGGAATGATAAAAATTAGAGTTATCGTCACTGTTTTGCATCCTCCAATGAAACAACACATCTGTGCCGTGATAAGCAGGGGCAGCTAAACCATCATGTTAACCACTTAGAAACCACCAGATGTTATGTGCCTCCTCAGTGACATAATGGGAAGCACGCAGCCCTATGAAGCATTCCTGCCAAAAAGACTGAATTTGAGCCTGACTGACCCTCTAGATGTATGTACCAGCTTATGGGAAATACCAGGGACACAGAAACAAGTTAAAGGACACCATGAGGCTGCAATCAGCCAAATCTAGATCGTGGGGAATTCCATAGAGCAAATGAGCCTATTTCTTCAACAAATTAATGGCAAGAAAAAAAAAAAAAGGAATATATAGTTTGAAAGAGATTTGGGGCAGTTGGCTGGTTCAGTAGGTGCAGCATGCAACTCTCAATCTCAGGGTCATGAGTTCAAGCTCCAAGTTGGGCATGGAACCTACTTAAAAAAAATGTAAAAAAAAAAAATTAAGAGATTTAAGACACATTCCCATTGAGGGGGAAGAAAGAAGGTATGAAAAGTAACTGGCACATAGTAATAGCTCAATAAATGAGACCTACTGTTACTTTACAATGAGCAAACTGCAACTTAGAGAGATTAAGTAACTTATGTAATGTCATACCAAATTGGCCAACACCACCACGGTTTCTTGTCAGAAAGTCCTATGTCTATGTAGCCCAGTTGGGCAGCTACAATAATCACCAAAGCCATTCGCTGAAAGTGAGTTTTTATTCCAAATGACTGTAATGGCTAGAAAGACAACAGATAAAACTGAAAATGATTCTGCATAACTGGAAAGTAGAAGTAGTTGATGTTGCAGGGAGCACACAGTAGGTGACAGCTTGGCACTTGATAATGGCAATAACCAAGAATTCATAAAAATAACTGATGTCCTTCTGATACACAATCTGGATGTGCAGCATTTACAGCAAATAACATAAAAAGAAAGAAAGGAGGAAAGAAAAGAAAGGAAACAAACCCTCACAAAATCCCAAACTTCAGAAATTAATATTCGCTTAAGAACACAGTGGTGACGACTTTTGGTAGCAAAATTTTCACAATTCTTAAAATGGGAGTCTTCAAAAGTACTTCCTCAAATTCAAAAGCTAAAAAAACCGAAGAGGGAACAGTTACACTGGCTTAGAAGAGCTGCCGCCTGTCACAAAGACGACAATCAGTCCTACTTCCAAACACAGTGATAACCGGTGAACCTGACAGCCGAATGGAGAGGCCGCCGGGCGGGCACTGACGCCATGATTGTACAAGAACTCTCTGGATCACGCATCATTAACAACAAACACCACAACTATTGATCCTCCTGACTGACGCTGAGGCTGCCTTTCTGCACCTCAAGTTCCTCGGCACTGACCATCGACGGATCAATGGCCGCGTATTTGGTTCCATGGAATTGCAGCAAATGTATCTGTAGAAACACAGAATTGTTCTTTTAAATGTCACTATGGCATATTTTATACTTCTAAAATTACGCAGCAATATGTACTAATAAGAGACAAATTGGAAAACACAGAGAAGTCAAACAAGTATTTTTAAAAACCACAATTTGAGGGACGCCTGGGTGGCTCAGTCAGTTAGGCATCTGATTCTTGATTTTGGGCCTGGGTCATGATCTTGCAGTTTCTGAGTTCAAGCTCTGCGTCAGGTTCTGTGCTGACAGAGCAGAGCCCGTGTGGGATTCTCTTTTCCTCTCTCTGCTCCTCCCGATCCCCTCTCTCAAAATAAATAAGCATTAAAAAATAACACCCACAGTTTGGGATCTTTGTTCCTTATTTAACATGTAACAGGTCTCTCCCAAGTTCCTATAAATTTCATCATCTTAAGTGGTGGCACACCACTCCATAAGTTGTTGTTTACCCTCCTGTCCTGCTGCTGTGACTCAGGTCTTTCCCATCCTCTGCTGTTCAGAGCAAGATCATCACGAAGGGCTCCAGGCATCAAGTTTTTCTGAATTTAGGGTCCTCTACTTAGGATCCACTGCCACAAGTGGATGACAGGACCAAAGGACATGACTGTTTTTTGAAGTTCTTGATACTTCTTGCCAAACTGCCAAAGCAGTAATTTCTCATTGCTATTTAAACTTAAAAAAAAAAAAAAATCTTTTTTAATGTTTATTTATTTTTGAGAAAGAGAGAGGGAACACAAGTGGGGGCAGAGAGAGAGACACAGAATCTGAAGCAGGCTCCAGGCTCCAAGCTGTTGGCACAGAGCCCTATGCAGGGTTTGAACCCATGAACCGTGAGATCATGACCTGAGCCCGAGTTGGACGTTTAGCCGACTGAGCCACCCACACACCCCCTCACTGCTATTTTAATATCCATTTAAGGTAGAGGACAAAGTGGCAGTTTTTGTCAGTTTTTGCGTGTATTATTTTAATGCACTAAAAATGGATCAGGAAAGTTGCTTCATGAATCTGGTATCCTGTTCTGATTGAATTCATTGTATCCAGGAGGCAAGGTCACATCATACCAAATGGCTACTTCTAGGTATGTGGATATAGGCCTGCTGTTCTTAGAAAAGAGATGGTAGGCAGAGAGTCACCTGTCTCTAACACACCTGCTTGAATTCTGCTTTAAATTATTAATGTAAACCACTTTTATCAAGCAAGTGCCTCATTCTTACAGAGAATTCTGTAGTTCTCCTATTCCACCATTAAAAAAAAAACAAGCTTTGTGTTTCAAACTATACACTGTGGGTTCAAAGTGCCCTGGCTTCCAAGCTGGGACTTACCTGTACATAAAGATTCACCTCTGCACTTCTGCACAGGTATGGGAAATTGCCTCCTGTTTTAAGGTGAGCCCTCCGGGCATTAGGATACAGTTTGTACATTTCTTCTTTAGCTTCGGTTGAAAGTGCACTCTGGTCAAATACCTTTAAAAAAAAAAACAAAGGCTGAAACCTACTGGTATTTTAATATGTTCTTTCCACATCATGGAAAATGCTTCCCAAAGCATTTCTTTCTTGTGAAGAGATGCTGCTGAACCTTGGCCAGCCTGGGCCACCTCCTCCTACTGATCCCTGGTGATTTCTAACATAAGCTACAGAATTTGTTGTTGCATTCTTTGGGAGAAAAGTCTACCATGAATTTTTTTCCCCTCAAACAGAGTTAACTGAATTAAAAGAATATTAATAGTGAACAATCATTATTGAAAATGCCAGTTAATTTCAAAAAGATCACTAAAATCCCAAAAGAACGTGTAAATTTTATTACTACTTAAAAACAGTTACATAAATACTATATGCTTAGTGAAAAACAAAAACAAAAACAAAAACAAAAAACAAAATTTTTAAGAGTATAAGAAAAAGTCCAGATCCTTTCCTGGGGGAACTACTGTTAACAGTTTGGAGTGTATGATTCTAGACATCATTTACTGCCCACATAAACTTATGTTTACACACACATTCAAGCAAGTTTTCAGAAAGTAATATTTTTTTCAAAAAGTAATTTTTTTAATCGTGCGCGCACGCACACACAGCACTTCCAACTTGCCAAAGTTTAAACACAGTTTCCAGTGACCCAAACTTTGGGTACATGAGCTCAGCTTTGAAAGATGGGCAAACAGAGCAAACGCACTGTGAGGACAAAATATTTTACCAACAGTACTGAAAAGCTTGTTCTGTGTCATGGTCAATGTCGGAATGTAGAGATTACAGTGAAGAATGAGAAGTTATTATTTACATGCTTGTAAATTTCTGGACAAAAATCAATTCTTAAAAAACATTATTTGAATCCAGGAATAAACCCGTTTATGAGGCAAAATAGTTACATGATTTAAAAAAAAAATAAGCCAAACCACAATGAAATACCACTTCACATCTATTAGAATCACTATTATCAAAAAACAGAAAATAACGAGTGTTGGGGAGGATGTGGAACAATTCGAACCCTTGTGCATTGCTGGTGGGAATGTAAAATGGTACAACCACTGTGGAAAATGGTATCATGGTTTCTCAAAAAGTTAAACAGAATTACATATGGCTCAGCAATTCCACTTCTCCGTATATACCCACAAGATGTGAAAGTAGGTACTCAAACAGATATTTGTACACCAATGCTCACAGCAGCATTATTCACAATAGCCCAGAGGTGGAATAACCCAAATGTCCATCAACAGATGCTGGATAAACCAAATGTGGTACCTGCATACAAGAGAGTATTATTCAGCGTTTAATACACGCCACGACATGAATAGACTTTGAAAACATTCTGCTAAGTGAATTCAGCCAGACACAGAAGTACAAATATTATGTGATTCCTTATAGTCTATGTACCTTACGTGAGGTACATAGAATAGTCAAATACATAGAGACAGAAAGTATAATGTTGGGTACCAGGGTCTGGAAGGAGGGGGGAATGGCGAGCTAGTGTTTAATGGGTACAGAGCTTCAGTTTGGGATGATGAAAAGTTCTGGAAATGGATGATGGTGACGGTTGCACAACACTGTAAATGTACTTAATGCCACTTAAGTTTACTTAATGTACACTTAAAAATGGTTAAAATGGTAAATTTTGTAACATATATTTTACCACAACTCGAGCATATAAGAAGCAAGCTTTTGTGCTAATTAGATTTTATGGAATTCTTGATTCTCTGACTCCATGAGGCAACTTTTCTTTGCTACATAGATGTGTAATAGCTAAAGTGCAATATCTGTTGATGACTGTAGCAAAAATATATCAGAATGGGTAAGGACTACCATGTTTGTTTATGTTTATTCCTACTTCAATGGTGTTATTCCTATCAGGAAAAAAATAGGGTAAGCAATACGTTGATTGTTTTAGAACTGAAAAAGTGGGTGGGGGGAGGGTGTAAAAAAAATCCAAGGCAGCATTGGAAGAGGTACACTGAAAAATTATAAAATAATTATGAGGATTTTGATATATACAGTTAAAAGGGTAAAACATCTATTTGACTTAAAAGGAAGCTTACATCCATAATGGTTACAGGGATGTCCCGAATTTTATGAGGTTCCACATAAGAATTTTGACAATTCAGGGTCAGTCTTGAAGCCAGTTCACTCTGACCCAAACTTTCCAGCTGTAGGAAGAAACACAGGCAAAGGTTTTAGATTAATTTTGTTTCCCACATTTCCATTAAGTGTAATATTTGTGCTTATAAAGGTGGTATCACGTGTGGTGGGTCCAGAAAGATCACCAAGGAGGAAATATAATGTATCTGTGAGACCATGGGCCTCCCAGGTGGTGGCATTTTTCTACTGTGGGAACCTGGCATTCATAGCCCTCAACATGAATTGCTTCTTCAACCAGGTACCTGTGGGCAGCAAGCCAGTTCCTATAACTCATAAGTGACAGATAAACATTTTTAAGAGATTTTGGAGCTGGAAGAGACCTCAGAAAAACCATCTAGCCCCGTAGTCCCTAAATCCAAGTCTGTAGACCTGCTACTTCAGATTCACCTCAAGGAGAAAGAGGGGGAACACAGTAAAAACACAGGTTCCCAGATCCCACACCCAGGGATTCCAGTTCAATGGGCTGGAGAGGCCTTGGAATCTGTTTTTGTTTGTTTGTTTTTTTTTAAATGTAGGCTCCATGCCCAACATGGGGCTCGAACTCATGATCCCCAGATCAAGAGTCCCATGCTATACTGACTGAGCCAGTCAGGTGCCGCTGGAATCTGTATTTTTAAAAGCTTCCCCCAAGTGATTCTGTTGAATTACTTACCAACAGTAATAATCTGTGTGGGTGTGTTAAAGTTGATATGGAAGGCGGTTTAGCAAACATCTCTAATACATACTCAATGAGACAGATATATCATCAGGAAGCAAGGAGACACAAAAATTTCTAGTATAAGGTGTCCCCACCCCAACGCCATGATCCTTACCCTGTCCACCATGAAATCAATAGCATCAGCCATCAAAGGGTCCACTGGGCCAGATGAAAAGTTTCCAAGAACTATTTTTTTGAGCATAAATGATGGCATCAGCCAAAAGCTGTAAAACAAGGACCTGATAATTTAAATTTGCAAGGTTACACAAAAGTAGCAAATATTCATTCAATATTGAAGCTTTGTATTAGCTATGTTCTTGGGATCTAGAGATAAAAAGACCTATCTCTTCTTCCAAAGAGCTAGCTTTAAAGCATCTTGTTTTTATATACATTTTCCTGAGCTCCCAAAGAGTTACGGTTTAATATGATTAAAGTTTTATTTGAGAATTTAGAATAATTATAAGTGGTATTTCAAGTTTCTTTGCCAAGGTAGACATTTTGATAATACTGAGAATTTATTATTTATTATTATTATTATTACTATTTTTTTTCTTTTTTTACTATTTGGCTTTATTTCCAATGGCTAAACTATTTCCTTTAGAAAACTGAAAAATTAAGATCCCAACCTTCAGGTTTATATCACCTTGATTGATTGATATTTCAAAATAGCAAAATGAAGGAGCTGTTATACTGCCAAAGTTTTCTCCTAGTAGATTCAATTAGGCTAATTCAAGGCAATTCAATCTATGGATTTCTGTAAGTGATTTTTAGTTGATATTTATTCCATTAATTACAAGAATTGAGAGCCATTATATACGGTAAACACTACTTTCTCTAAACCTATGGTGAAAATGACTTATAAAAAGTGCAGACTACCTTCTGATGCGTGTTCTCAATGGACTGGCTTGTTGGAAGTTGAGCTTCCCTCACAAGGCCAGTGGGCCCTCTTTCAGTTAACTTTCTCCATCCCGCCCATGGGTTTCCTTATTTTCTCAAGGTGATGAGGTACCCTCTGTGAGGGGTAGGCCCTGTTGGCTTTGCTTGCCCCTGTAGCCTCAATGTGTGGCACAAAGTAAGCACTCAGATATTTGATAAAATGTAGCTCATATGCAGGGGCACAAACAAAGTAGGGGCAGTCTTGGCTTGTGACAGTTAAAACAACATTAAAAATCATCAAAAATAATCAATGAGCTTTAGTGCATTGTCCGGACATGAACTATTTGTAGCTAATGTATGTAAGAAATTGTTGCACAAATGCTGAGTAAACTACTGAGATAACACCAGAAAACATTTTTAAAGAGAACAGAGTACAACTTGTTTTTGAGTAAGCTATACGCCCAATGTGGTGCTCAAACTCATGATCCAGAGATCAAGAGTTGCATGCTCTACCTACAATTTTAAAGAAATGTGAAAATAACAAACACAATGTTTACCTAGAGAATTCTGTGAAAAATCAACCTGATCATACAGGTATGTTTACTCATGGAGCTTTGTCTTTTAGGGTAGAGTCTAGCCTTGCTAGCAATGAAAAAAAATCACATTAAATGAGCTTTAAGGTACTATTAGATACTTATCAAATTACTTAAAATGTTATCTTCAGGGTGCCTGGGTGGCTCAGTCGGTTAAGCATTCGACTTTAGCTCAGGTCATGATCTTGAGGTCTGTGGGTTCGAGCTCCATGTCAGGCTCTCTACCGATAGCTCAGAGCCTGGAGCCTACTTTGGATTCTGTATCTGTCTCCCTCCCTCTCTCTCTCTCTCTGCCCCTCCCCCGCTCATGCTAGGTCTCTGTCTCTTAAAAAAATGAATAAACATTGAAAAAAATTAAAAATAAATAAACAAAATGTTATCTTCAATAACTTTTCTTTTTCCAGTGGGGGGAGGGGGAGGGGGATAGGAAGACAAAGAGAATCCCAAGCAGGCTCCACACTGTCAGAGCAGAGCCTGACACGGGGCTCAATCCCACAAACTGTGAGATTATGACCTGAGTCAAAATCAAGAGTCGGACACTCAACTGACTGAGGCACCCAGGCACTCCTAAAGTGGACTCTTCAATGAAAGGATGACTCAGAGGAAACAAGCGCCCCATGGGTGGCCCCACGAAGCAGGCCACCATTTCCATCTTTCCGAAAGCAGACTAACACTAAAGTGTCATGATGTGCAAGACGTGCTGGCAGACGAAATGTATTCTCTCTGTTTTTGGAAACACATTTCAAGGAAATAACCCAGAAAGGGAAGGAAAAAAGCAACATGTACAATGATTTGCAGAACATGATGAAAAATTGGGGGAAGCCAAAATGCCTAAAAACACTGTGTCGTCAATATACAGAACTGTTTAACAACATAGTAGGCAGAACAAGCAGAACACCATATTAGTTACATATGCAACTGAAGAGGACCTGTTAGGATCACATGAATGTATAGTAAACAAAGCTAACCCATAATTCAGAGTAATAGAAATAGCTAAATTCAGAGTTCATTCCATTCTTTTCTTTGGCAAAGGTGATTGTTTCTAGTTTTAAAAGCCAGGGCAGTTTCAGAAGACAGAGGTAGATACAAGCCCTTTCCACCCCCACACCCCCACCGCTTAGTGCAGCAACCCCCCACCCCCCGCCAAGCCAACATTTTCAAAATTCCACTGAATGAAAATCCTAAGAATTTTGGCCAAATGTTCATGTTCTTACCTGTTTGCAGTCCAAGTTTGGTTGAAGATGGAGGTGTCACTGAAAGAATTGCAGAGGATGAGGGAATGGACTCTGGGAGATGTGTGTGTGTATTCAGCAAATTTCTGGGCCAAAAAGCCTCCCAAAGAAGCCCCAAACAGGTGAACCTAATTGCAAACAAACACAAGAAGGATACTACAACAACAATCAATCCTGAACATAAATACCAAAAAAAAAAAAAAAAAAAAA